TAGGATTTTAAACTGTTTTGATTGATCATTGCATTTTATGGTTCTTTGTCAGAAAATAAAAAGAAAAAAATCAATAGAGAAGTATTTTCTTACTCTGGCCTCCTTTACATCATTCCCTTTGCATCCTGATAACATTTCATTTATTCTTCAGTATTTCTCTGTGTTACACTAAATATAGGAGCATGTAACTGTTCTGTCTTATTTTGTTCCCTTAACAATATATCCTGGAGATGTCTCCATATTAGTTATTTGAGCTATTCTTCATTACTTAGGCAAATATTCTTTATATTTCTTTATAATGGAGAGTACAATGAACTGTTTCTTGATCCTTCTACCTGGACTAAATCCACACCCTCCTGTGAGAATGGATGAGTACCCCATGCTGTTCATTCCAGCTAGACATTGATGTAAGATGAGTGTTTTTGAATGATTACTTTTTTTTTTTTTTTTTTTTTTTTTGACAGGCAGAGTAGATAGTGAGAGAGAGAGACAGAGAGAAAGGTCTTCCTTTTGCTGCTGGTTCACCCTCCAATGGCCACCACAGCTGGCGCACTGCGGACGGCACACCGCGCTGATCCGAAGGCAGGAGCCAGATGCTTCTCCTGGTCTCCCATGGGGTGTAGGGCCCAAGCACTTGGGCCATCCTCCACTGCCTTCCCGGGCCACAGCAGAGAGCTGGCCTGGAAGAGGGGCATCCGGGAAAGAATCCAGCGCCCCAACCGGGACTAGAACCTGGTGTGCCAGCGTCTCAAGGTGGAGGATTAGCCTATTGAGCCGCCGCGCCGATCTGAACGATTAGCTTTTAATACTTCCCGTTTTATAAATGTTCAAGTTTCCACTTATCTACTGCATTAAACTCCATTCCTTTGTCTATTTTTGACTACTGTAGTTCTGGGCTTCTTTTTCCAATCCTATTTACTACAAAATCTAGACTAGATGAGAGCGACACCCTCCACCCCTATTCCAAAGCAGGATTCCACACTACACCGATGAGAGGATTTGTAGTCAGGGTGAGTAGCTGAAAGGTCAGCTAGCTCTGGAAATGCAAATGGCCATGAGGGAGCTGTGTGTGCCCTGAAGGTAGAGTGTTTCCTGACTTGTTAGCTTATCCTGAAGTCCTGACATCTTTTTTATTAAAAAAAAAAAAAAAAAAAAAATCCCTTCTAAATGTTTGTGTTTCTCACAACCAATGGAATCCTGACTAGAGTCTAAGCACTAAGGAATCACTGGATTTTATGTTGGAAAGCAGAATGATGTCTGTGAATTAAATCATGGGACTAATAACATTTAAGGGATGGGCAGAAGTAGGTTACATGGGATGGAGACTGAGAGGCCACATGAGTAGGAAAATGGGGTTAAGGAAGACAATGAAGAACTGTGTTTTAAGAAGGTGGCAAATTCAGAAGAAAGATCAAGACAAAAATATCAATTGGATTTTTCTTCTTTTTTTTTTTTTAATTTTTTTGACAGGCAGAGAGTTAGACAGTGAGAGAGAGAGACAGAAAGGTCTTCCTTCCGTTGGTTCACTCCCCAAATGGCCACTATAGCTGGTGCGTGCTGCGTGGATCCGAAGCCAGGAACCAGGTGCTTCCTCCTGGTCTCCCATGCGGGTGCAGGGCCCAAGCACTTGGGCCATCCTCCACTGCCCTCCCGGGCCACAGCAGAGAGCTGGACTGGAAGAGGAACAACCGGGACAGAATCCAGCGCCCCAACCGGGACTAGAACCCAGGGTGCTGGCGCCGCAGGCGGAGGATTAGCCAAGTGAGGGATGGTGCCGTCCTGGATTTTTCTTTTAAAAGATTTATTTGAAAGGCAAAATTGGGAGGGGAGAGGGAGAGACAGAGAGAGATCTTCCATCCACTGGTTCACTCCTCAAATATGTGCAACAGCCAGGGCTGGCCTAGGTCAAAACTAGGAGCCTGGAACCCCACCCAGGTCTTCTATGTAGATGGCATGGGACTGAGGACTTGGGCCATCCTCTGCTGACTTCCTTGACCCATCAGCAGGGGGCTGGATTGGAAGTGGAACAGCTGGGATTTGAATGAGCAAGAAGGAATGCCAGCATTGCAGGTGGTCCCCTAGTTGGATTTTCTAACAGGTCAGTGGTTACCTTTGCAAGAAAAGTTTCATTGGGTGGATGAGGGAACAAAAATTATAGTGTTGAGGCACACATAGAACACAAGAAATTGGAGATAAGTATATATCACTTCTTTAGGAACCCTGACTGGGATGAGAAGGGCTGCAGATGCAAAACCTAAGCATATTTATATGCATTAGAGAAGATAGAATGGGAGAGATTGACAGAGACTTTAACTGACAGAATTGATTTCCTGAAAAGAATAAGGAATAGAATGGCAACTAAAATCCAACTAGCATTTATAATGCTAGACATTCTTCCAAGAACTTTCATTGTATTAAATGAATTAAAACTGGGTAAACTAAATTAAAAATGAAGTTGGGAATGAGGTGAAGCAATATGCACCTGAAAATCAAAATGTCAGTAAATATGGAGATATGGTATGTACTAATCTATATAAAAGAAGAAGGAAGAGAATTGGTAGCTTAAGAATGCTGGTCTGAAGGAGAGGAAGTTGACTAGAAACATGTACAAGTGTTTGAACAGTAGTTCAAATGATTTTTATCATATTTTCCATAAGTGCTTCAATCCATTAATGTCAGAGCTCAGAGCCAGACTATACTGACTCATGGTTGTGTGTTTGTGAATCGGATAAATTAGTTTGAGGAAACTGACAGACTGGTAGAGTGGTTGAAGTGATGTGCAGTAGGGGTATATTAGCTATAAACAGAAGTCACGATGGAGAAATGATGGGGATAAAAAAAGTTTAAAAGAAGAATAGAAAGATGACAAATGTAAAAAATCCATTGTCTCTATCCCACTTGACTGGATAATCAAGGCAGTAGGTTGCCACAATTTATGAAAGCCACCAGAAGAGTTATGTCTGTCATCTTAGGCTCTGGGATTTCTCCATGTAGCGAATGCTCTGGCAGAACAGATCATTGCTATTCAGTGCTGTCCACTGACTGGCATAATTAGCACCACCTAGGAGTTCTGTGAGAAATGCACCTTGGGCCCCATGGTAGCATTATTCAATCACCCTGATTTTTAACAGAATCTCCTAGGGATTTGTATGCACATTAAGTTTAAGAAGCACCGGAATACGCAGATAAGGGAGTGTGCACTCACCTTTGATTTGTCATAATATTGCTCATAATATGCTAAAAGATGTTCTGTCTGTGATGTTCTCGAGTTCGTAACTCAATGTATTCCCCTTTTTATCTATAACTCAAATCCTCCCCCAAGTGATTTGTAATCCTCTGCATGAACTGGAGAGTCTGCCCACACTGCAGGTGCTCTCTTTTGTGGGCTGAACTATGTTGAAACTGTGAAACTGTGATAAACTCTTTACAGGCAGAGTGGACAGTGAGAGAGAGAGACAGAGAGAAAGTTCTTCCTTTTGCTGTTGGTTCACCTCCCAGTGGCTGCTGTGGCTGGCGCGCTGCGCTGATCCGAAGCCAGGAGTGGGTGCAGGGCCCAAGCACTTGGGCCATCCTCCCCTGCCTTCCTGGGCCACAGCAGAGAGCTGGACTGGAAGAGGAGCAGCAGCCGGAATCCGGTGCCCCAACCAGGACTAGAACCCGGGGTGCCGGCGCCGCAGGCGGAGGATTAGCCAAGTGAGCCTGTGATAAACTCGTTTGTCACACTTATCTCTCCCCATCTTGCTTATCCAAATGGATTTTTCTTGATCCAAGCATGTCAAATTTAACACATCCTAATCCTATCAACAGAATATTAAAGACATAAACATTCTCAAGTGAACTCACCACCATACAGGGAACTTCATACAGTACACATCTCAGGTTACTCATATTATTTAACAATTACCCTCCTGATCAATAGTATCAATGGTCCCGTCTCAGACCTGTTACTCCTGTTCTTCCAAATTTATCTCCCTACATGCAAAGAGCCTCCTCTCTGCAGTTCCCCATTTCTTCTTTCTTCAACATTCCTTAACTAGTAGCTGGCTGTATTTGTTTAGACTTGCAATTGTTTCGTGTAAAGAACATCTAGACTTTCAGGATCACTTCTGTCAGCGTCAAAACCATTCTAAGGGGAATTCTTCAGTTAGAAGCACACACACAGTCTGCCATGGGTCCGCTTTAACGAGCCATACCTGTCTTTCTCCTTCTAACACTCCTACCGATTATGAACGGTTTTCAGCTGCCATGTATCCCTTGCTTCGTGCAAAACCAAATTATGCAAAATCAATCAAGTCGCTTGGAGTCTGAGTGGAAGCCTGAGCGAACCCGCCTCCCGTGAGCGTGGGCCGGGTTCCCTGGAGCAGGGCAAGTCAGCGCCCAACCCATCACGCAGGTGTACCTGCTGGGGGCGTCGGTGCTAATGGACGTTCGGGCAACGTTGCCAACGAGTAAGGCCGGTTCTTTCGAGTCCGGCTTTCATGCTGTGCCCCAGAGGACAATCTCGGCGGCCTGTTGGGGTTTTGGTTTTTTAAGAAGCTGGTGATTTGGGGTGCTGTTACCTAGTGGGCCGAAATCGGCGCTCCGAGAGGGAGGAAGGCCATTTCTTCCCTCCTCCAGCTAACCGGTCCACAGGACTGTGAGTGCGCTGTTACAGACGGAGAACCCAAATCGTGGAGGCCAAAACGGAACGGGAAAGGTTTTTAAAGGGCAGCAGGGAGAGGTGTTTGCGAGGTGACAGCTGGTGGTCACTCGGCCCTGGCTGCCTCCTCCCCATGCCTGGCCTCTCACGGTCATTGATGGTCTCTCGGGGCTCAGTCCCCTTCTCCACGTTTAACCCACTCCCCACCGATCCCCCAGCCCTTCTTCTCGCCTCCAGCGCTCCCATGGCGCTTCCCATCCCCCTCTCTCTTGCCCCTCCTCACCCTTCACTCCCCTTTTTCCCTCTCCTCGCCCCCTCCCCTTTTTCCCTACACCCTCCAGCCCAGCCCAGCCCACTCTACTTTCTCGCTCTTTCTCCTCGCAGATTCGCGCTCCCGCTGAAAACACCGCCTCCACCCTCCTCTCCCCGAGACTCCAGGCCGGAGGCGCGCCGGGCGGGCTGCGCGCAGGCGCACTGCGTGGCGGGCGCGCGGGCAGCTTGGCTACGCGCACGCGCGCGCTGCTCCGGCTCGGCTCCGGCGCTGGTAGCCGGGCGTTCTCCGTCTCGCTCCGTGTGGGCTGCTGGCCCCGCAGCGGCGGCGGCGGCGGCGGCAGCACCATGTTTCTTCACTCAGTCAACCTCTGGAACCTGGCGTTTTACGTGTTTATGGTCTTCATGGCGACTGTGGGGCTGTGGGATGTCTTCTTCGGCTTCGAGGAGAACAAGTGCAGTATGAGCTACATGTTTGAGTACCCGGAGTATCAGGTAAGACTGTGCCTCGCCGGAGTGCTCCGGGACTCGCGACCCCTGGAGCCTGGAGCTGCCGCTGGTTCCCGCCACCTTGGTTCTGTGTAGGCGTCCCTCGTCCAAACCTCGTCTGTATTTCCTCTGCCCGGAAGGCTCCGCAGACCCCCGGGTCACCTGCCTTTTGTGTGCTCTCTTCGTGGTGGGGTGTTTGACAGATGATTCCCCGGGCGTCCTCCCCGGCCTCGCCGTAGGGACTCCCTTGCCCCTCTGCTCCCTCCCTAGCTCCGCATCCTTCGCTCACCTCAGCCCTTCTTCCCAAATCCAAACCCCACCTTCCCTCCTCGCGTTCCTGCCTGAACAGGTGCCCCCGGGCCCCTCCTTCGCTTCCCACGCGCTGGGAGCATTGGACGTCAGATCTCGCTCTTCTAGAAAGGAACCGAGACTCTGCAGAGTGCGCTCGCACGAGAATACGGTCTAGATAGTTGCCAAGGCTGTCGTGGAGGCCCCAGGGTTCTACTGTGGGCGAAACGCGACCTGGTAAATAATTGCACTGGAAACTCTCCGGGTTCCCCTTCGTGCAGGGATGTTATGGGTCCACCTGTTTCGGGAGGTCTGGCTCCGTGCGTGTGCGAGCACACCTGTGTTTCTGCAGTTCGCCGAGCAGCCGGGCCTCTTACCAGTTGCATGCAGAATCTGTTTCGCACTGTTATTTTTGTTTTCTCCCTGTGTTCTCAACTGGAGCGAGAACCGGCTCTTTTTCTCCCTCTACTCCGCCTCACCTCTTCTTTTCTATTTGAATGTTCCCAATTAATTGCTTCGTTAGTTCGACGTAGTAGAATCTAGAATTTCATTCATGACCAGCTGTAAAAAGAGATGGTGACACATTACACAACTGTCCATAGAAATCTCTCCTGAATGATGAATTTTTTTTTCTGAGTGCATCTCTTAACTTCCATAAAATGTATATGGACTCATACATACGCATAAAATGCATTTTTTTGTATACTTTTAAAACCATAGGAGATTTTTTGCTTTAGGAGAATGTGATTTGGGATTGCTTCTTTGTACAAGATTTTATGGAGGAAATGTGTTATTTGATTATGCTGCTTACTATTTAGATTGGGAAACTACCGTTTGAACTGCTGAAGAGCATCCTTTTTAATGGATAAAATTCTAGGAAATTTGGATTTCACTTGTTTTGAGATCCTTACCTTGGTATTGCATCTGTGATTGTAAGGGAGTGGAAACGTTTGAAGGGGAATATTTTAACACATTAGTTAATTTTGTCCATGTGTGAGCCAGAATGCTCGAAAAATGCATCAGAGGCTGTGCAGTTAAGGACATGGGCTTTTTCTTTTTTCTTTTAAACTAGAAATAGAGCTATTATAATCCCCTTTTATTGTCTATGGTTTATAATTAGGTAACTCCCAATAATTGAAGTAGGTCACTTTAGTTTGTACTGCATTGAAGAGTTTGGTTAAAATAAAATCATTTTGGAACAATATAGTGCTAATTCCCACTTATTTTTGGATTGCCTAGAATTATTGGAGCTATATTAGTATTTGCAGTAGTAAAAATTGCTTTCCTTGGTGTTGGGAACAAAGCATATGGATCTCACAGTTGCAGTCCTTCCTCATAAAATTGACCTGACAGACAGAAATTGATGTAGTTCATGCAAAAGTGCCATTTGGCTTTTTTGTTATGGTTGAGTAATCTGTAGTTATTTTGGTTCAGATTGCCTTTCTGGGGGTGATACAACTCTGTTAGTATATTAATAATGTCAGTGGCAGGGGTTTTTGATCTATATCTTCAGCAGATTTTTTGTTATACAAAGCTTTGTTCATTACGATATTTATATTTGACTCTTGATCCTTTTATTTTGCATATGAGGTTGTTTTATTTGGCAAATACAATTAAAATCTGCTTATAGAAGAGTAATTTTTAATATGGCTACTTAGATTTCTGTATAAACGAGATCCTTCTTTTAAGAACCAAGTAGTTTTCATGTATAAAAATGTTCTAAAGGTATTTTAGGTATTGCTTATTTCTAACTATAGTTTATAGTCAGCTTTCTAATTGTGCACAGCTTAATAACCAACATGTGTGATGTCCTCATCATTGAGTTTTCTTCTCTTTCTTGATGCCTTTCTTCGTTTTTACTGCTCACTTGCATCTTTTTATCCAGCAAAGAGAAAATGAAAAGGAAATTGAAGTGTTATCAGTTTTATTCTCCATTAAAATAAAAGTGTGCAGGAATTTGAAATTCTTTGCAAAAATGAAGCTTGAATTGAAAGTTAATTATCTTTATTCATCCTCTACTTACGATTTTCCTAGATTCATCATTCAGAGTTTACTGAACATCTTATGAACTCAAGTCCATCAGGCAAAAGTATACATTGTCCTTTAAAGCTTTTTGCCTTATGGTTCTAAGGCAAAACTTTTATCTGGCAGAGGACTATTTTAGAGAAAGGTAGTTTTTTTTTTTTATTTTGACAGGTAGAGTGGACAATGAGAGAGAGACAGAAAGGTCTTCCTTTTGCCGTTGGTTCACCCTCCAATGGAGGTCTTCCTTTTGCTGTTGGTTCACCCTCCAATGGCCACTGCGGCCGGGGCATTGCGCTGATCTGAAGCCAGGAGCCAGGTGCTTCTCCTGGTCTCCCATGCGGGTGCAGGGCCCAAGGACTTGGGCCATCCTCCACTGCACTCCCGGGCCATAGCAGAGGGCTGGCCTGGAAGAGGGGCAACCAGGACAGAATCCGGCGCCCCGACCGCAAGGCGGAGGATTAGCCTATTAAGCTGCGGCGCCGGCCGAGAAAGGTAGTTTTGAGAAGACTTTGAGTTGTCTCATACAGCAGTGTGTTTGGCTCCCCTCATATCTGTTATTGCATGGTAGCTCTTAATGGAAACTGACCAGTGTTGTGGCACAGTGGGTTGTACTGCTGCTTGGAATACCTACATCGCATGTTGGAGTGCTGGTTTGGATCATGGCTGCTCTGCTTCTGATCCAGCTTCTGGCTATTGGGCCTGGGAAGGCAGCAGAGGATGGCCAAGGTGCTTGGGCCCTTGCTGGCTATGTGGGAGATCAGGGTGGAATTCCTGGCTCTTGACTTCTACCTAATCTAGACCTGTCTTCTGTGGCCATTTGGTTAGTGAACCAGTGATAGATCTCTCTCCCTGTCTTTCCTTCTCACTGTTGCTCTCCATCTCAAATAAATAAATAAATCTTAAAAATATAAATTGTATTTTGTTAATAAAGTGGGGTGTTTATTTAGCAAGTCTTATTTAATGACTACTTTATGCTAGGTATATCTAGATACTTAGTGTGGATGAGAGGGAATTGGCAGCAAATCAAACCTTTTGCTTTTATGTTTTTATGATATAAGAAGGGAGACAGGAATGTAATATATAGTTACAATATAATGTGGCGTTGTAATTTTATCCTAAGAGAATGTTTACAGTAGTCTTCAGAGAAGAGAGAGCATGCAAGTTTGTATTGGATATTCACTGGCATTAGAAAGATTTTAGTGGATTGAGCTATTCAGGGTATATATTTTATACAGTGCAGAAATAAGAAAATTGCAAGTATATATAGCATATGTGAAGGTAAAAAGGCACCCAGCACATTGCATGTGAAATATATGTAATATACTACTATTTATATGAGAAGAAAATAAACTATAGATATATTAGATTGAATATATGTAACATTGCTGGTGTACATTTAAAATATTTTTGCAGGCACAAACTGATAATATTCGTCCCTCTTAGCTAGGGCAACTGGATGGCTGAAGGACCAATGGTACACCCTCTTGAATCTTAAACATTACGTGTGGCCAGCGCTGCGGCTCATTAGGCTAATCCTCTGCCTGCGGCACCGGCACCCCATGTCCCGGTTGGGGGTCCGGATTCTGTCCCGGTTGCTCCTCTTCCAGTCCAGCTTTCTGCTGTGGCCCTGGAAGGCAGTGGAGGATGGCCCAAGTGCCTGGGCCCCGCACCCGCATGGGAGACCAGGAGAAGCACCTGGCTCCTGGCTTTGGATCACAGCGCACCAGCCAGCCGTAGCAGCCATTTGCGGGGTGAACCAACGGAAGGAAGATCTTTCTCTCTGTCTCTCTTTCTCACTGTCTAACTCTGCCTGTCAGAAAAAAAATGACGTGTAAGTTATGAGAAAGTATGGAAGAATAATTAGAGCCAGATTTTTAAGTTCTTTCTTTCTTTAAGCCTTAAATACGTATGCAGTGAGAAAACACATATGATGTATGCTTCAGCAAGGTTTTTTCTTAACAATTCAGTCTATGAATTGTAGCAGGGGAATTATGACAAGGGGAGATCAATCTGAATGATTCATTTGTCCTGAGATCTTTATTTTTTCAAATCAAACTAGAGTCCCTAGGGTTGTTCTTAGGGGTTGGTGAACAAAGAGCTAACAGCTCTTTGTAAGACTTTTAAAACTGCCTGTGTTCTTTTTGATTAAAAAAAAAAATTTGTTTTTCTGTTTGGTTAGTAATGGAGATCAGACTTTTTTTTTGTTGCAGTTTTAATTCACAATTGAAAAATATATCATAAAATATTTTAGTTTCTTAAATCAGAATTTTTTGGGCACTTGGTAGTTTGTTAGCATTTTTGTTTTTTGAAAGAGGTTTATGTTACCCATTATACCACAGCTCCGGCCCCACAGATTATTAATCTATTATTGTCTACTTAAGTAAAATCTATTGTCCGGTGTAATTGGTTCAATTCTAATGGGTTATATCCTTAAAAAAAAAAAAACCAGAAAAGCTTACTCTTTAGTACTACTTATATAGATGCCTACCTTTTTGTGATGACCTAATTTATATTATGTTAAAAAAAATACAAACCCATGGCTCCTTTGCCATACAGTAATATAAATTACAGAGTAGTTTAATGCTTGCTGACAAACCATGCACCTGATCCATGAAAAGTGAAGCAGATGCTAATTAACTGAAATGTTTATGGTAAGAAGAGTATATGTGTCTTGACCAAAACATGGCTGTCAGGACCAGATTAATTTGTTGGACAGATTACAGGTCAAAACATAATTAATTGAGAAGTCAGAGATTTGTATTATAGAACAAACTTACTTTCATTTGAAGGTGTTACAGCTGAAATATACTGTTGGGTTTGAGTGAAAGGAGAAACAGTTTAAATTTGCAAAAAAGGAATTGATTTGATAATAGAAAGCTTTTATCATTTCTAAGTGTAATTGGTACTGATATTAAATAAAGTATATTTCCAGTGGTGTTAACATTTAATTTTCTGACAAACAGTGCTTTTCTGTCATTGCCAGGGGCTGTTTTCGTAACTTGTATTCATTAGAATTTTAGGGGTCTCATTTTACACTTTTCTGAAGACTATATGGTTCATCAAAACTCATGTAGTTCTGGAATAATTCTCTATATGAAAAACCTATAACTTATTTTGTGCATTAGGTGTGGTTTTATCATCAGTAATATTTTATAGTATGCTATTTCAGATTGTATAATTCAGAATTACATGCAATGAGGCTGAATTGTATTTATAAAATGTTTAAAGTGAAAGTGCTTTTTCTTTTTTATAGAAAATAGAACTTCCAAAGAAACTGGCAAAACGCTATCCAGCATATGAGTTATATCTTTATGGAGAAGGATCCTATGCTGAGGAACACAAAATTCTCCCTTTGACGGGTATTCCAGTTCTCTTTCTTCCTGGTAATGCTGGAAGTTACAAACAGGGTAAGTAAATTTTGAAAGGTCTAAAGTTAAATTGAAGTATTTGAATCGTGCATCCTCAGTGAATCAGATAAAGTGAATAAAATGGTTACTCCATATTAAGTACTGTGTTGTGCTTATTAGGAGACCCAAATATGTGACATTTTCTCTGAGAGAATGTACATGTGAGAAGTTCGTGGAAAAGAACAATTGAAGATTACTTTGCAAAAAGAGCAATTGAAGACTACTTTGCAAAGAGTAAGGAGGGGAAGAAAGAATTGTGAGGTGGGATACATAGGTGTTGGGATTTCAGGAATCCATTTAGCCAATTGTTTCTGTTGGAAATAGAATGTACAAAGAATAGAACTTGAAGCAATGATTAGGGAAGTCCGTTCATGGTTTATGTTATGCTGAACAAAAGAGGAGATTGGTTTCTTCCTTTTGGAGCTTTTGAAGTTAGATGTAGAGGTACTGAGGGGAACACAGAGTAGGGAAATCCTATGTACAGTTTACAGTTATATGTACAGATTACTAACTGAATGTTGACTTAGAGATATTGCAGTTATTTCTCACTTAGCAGCCAAGTAATCTGGAAGTAATTTTATTTTCAACTAAAATCTGCTTTCTTGGTTATTAAATGGATGAGAGTTGCTATGTAATGAGACTAGAATTGTTTCAACATGTACTGTAATTACTTATGTGCTTGTTTATTCGTCTAGCAGTTTTTTATGGACTACCTACAATGAACCAGGCAATATTCCTAGTACTAGGGATTTAAAGCAGAGCAAGAGAGGTAGTCTTTGCTTCCTCAAACTTAAATTCTTGCTGGGAAGATAGTCATCAGACAAATATGTTAATAACGTTAAATTTTAAAGAAAAATAGGGAAGAGGATAGATGTTGAACAGTTTTGGAGGTGGCTAGTTTATACTAGGTAATCAGGGAAGGCCACTGAGGAGATGACATTTGGCAAGAGGTTTGAATGTAACAAGGGATTGGGTGTGACTGGGGGAAGGCTCTGAGGCTGGCACATGCCTGCTGATCCAAGGCACTGTGACTAGATTAAGAAAAGAGAAATGAGAATAGAAGAGTAGCCACAAGTTATACGTGGTTACTTCAGAAAGTCCATGGGAAAATGGAATGAAAAGAGAAGTTTGTTTTGGTGCCAACAAATTTTGACACTCCTGTTAGAATGGCTAAAATCACCGCTGACAAAATGGCTAAAATCCAAAACACAGGGAGTAACAAATGCTGGCAAGGATGTGGACAAAGTGGATAATTTATGTGCTGTTGGTGGGAATGTAAATTAATGCAGACACTGGACAACAGTGTGGAGATTTCTTAAAAAACTAGAAATAGACTTGCCATATGATCCAGCAATCCTAGTATTGGGTATATACTTGAACACAGTGTTTCAGAGATACCTGCACTACCATGTTTATAGTAGCACAGTTCACAGTAGCCAAAATTTGGAACTGATCAAGGTGTTCATCGTCAGATGAATGGATAAATGTTTATATATGCAATGGAATATTATTCAGCTATAAAAAAGAATGAAATAAAACATAAAATGAAATAAATGTAAAAAAAAATCATATTGAGTGAAATAAGCCAGACCCAGAAAGACAATTACTGCGTGTTCTCCCTTGTATGTGGGAGCTAAAATTTAAAAATAAAAAAGGAAAGAAAAAAGAAATGTCTGTGTATATCAGTATTGCTGCAAATACAGTTTTGTAAAACTTTGTATTATAACTTTGTCAAATCAATGGTTAAGAATATTATACTATTATAATGATCTTATTATTTTAAAATAATACAATGTGGGAGAAATTTTTGTATTTTTGTATTCAGTTATTGTTTATAGCCATTATCTATATTTCCACTAAGGTTTAGTGGAAATAGTAAAAGCTTTTTACATGTTAAGCTTCTTATTTGATGAAGGATTAAGCCTTTTTACTGTAATGTAATTTTTTTATTTTTTTTTAAATTTTTTTTATTTTTTGACAGGCAGAGTGGACTGAGAGAGAGAGAGAGAGAGAGAAAGGTCTTCCTTTGCTGTTGGTTCACCCTCCAATGGCCGCCGCAGCCGGCGCGCTGCGGCCTGTGCACCGCGCTGATCCAATGGCAGGAGCTAGGTGCTTCTCCTGGTCTCCCATGGCTGCAGGGCCCAAGTACTTGGGCCATCCTCCACTGCACTCCTGGGCCACAGCAGAGAGCTAGCCTGGAAGGGGGGCAACCGGGACAGAATCCGGCGCCCCAACTAGGACCTGAACCCGGTGTGCTGGCACCGCAAGGCGGAGGATTAGCCTAGTGAGCCGTGGCGCCGGCCACTGTAATGTAATTTTAAAATATATTATCTCAAACTAAAATAAAAGGGAGAAGTGAGGGTAGGAGGGAGAGAGGGAGGAAGGGAATATCATTATATTCTTAGAATTGTATCTACAAATCACTGAATATATTAAAGAATAGCTAAAATTTAAAATTAAAAAATAAAAACAAATTTTGAAATTCTGAATATAAGGAGTCTTCTAAAAAGTTCATGGAAAAATGCGTGTTATGAAAAATCTGAACTATGCATGGATTTCAAATTTTTTGTAACAAAATAAACTTATCTTTTAATTTAATTTTCCATGAACTTTTTAAAGTATTTTTGTATCATATAAGCTATGGAAAAGACTTAGAATTTTGGTCCGTTAGAGAGCTTTGGGTAAGAAATTTTGTAATCTTTTTTTGTTGTTAACTGTTGTGTTTGAAATATTATACATATTCAGAGAAATATATAGAACATAGATATTCACTTTAAAATTATTGTAAGTGAATTACCACAGAACCAAAACCCATGCCAAGAAGCAGAAGATTTACAAAATCCTGGAAATTTCTTGTGTCCCTTCATGATTAAAACTCCCTCTCTTCTTTCTAGATGTAATCAGAATGCTAATGTTAAGACAGTAATTTACTTAACTTTCTTTGTAGCTGTAATACCTAAGTATGCTTCCCTAATATAACTTGTTTATTTAGAGGTATTTTTAAACTTTGTAATATGTAATTATTAAGTATGTATTCTTTTGTGTCTGTCTTCTTCCACTCAGCATTATCTTTAAAATTCATTCATGTTATCATATGAGTTGTGACTCATAGATTTTCCTTGATCTATATTGTTCTGTTGTATGACCATAACATAGTCTAGCAATTCTGTCTTTGGACATTTGGGTTGTTTACATTTATTGGAAATTAATAATAATGAATATTCTTCTACATGTACCTTGGGACACATAAACCTGTATTTCCGTAGGATGCATACTTACAGGCATTCATTCCATGTCCTGTGTATCTTTTCACAGTATTCCGACTGTGCTGACTTATATGTGTATTCCCACTACTATTTCCCTTTGTTCTACATCCTTAACAACATTGGTGCTGTCATATTTTAAAATTTTAACCTATTTAGTAGGTATATTTACTCTAAAAAATGATCATTCTGGCTTGGCTTTGAAGAGAATTTGTTATAAAAGAGCAAGATTGGAAACAGAGAAGATACTGAACATATGAGACACCAGAGAAATGAAAATTGAAATGGTCAGCACTTCCAACCTACTAAGATAGTTGTTATCAAGAAGACAGACACTAGCAGCTATTGGATAATGTGGAGAGAAATTTGGGAACTTTTTGATACAGTTGTGGTGGAATGTAAATGGTGCAGCCACTTTGGAAAACAGTTTGCAGTTCCTCAGAGTATTAAACATAGAACTGTCATATGACCAAGCAATTTACTCTCAGGTATACACTCAAGAAAAAATCAAAGTGTCCATCCACACAAAAACTTACATACCAATGTTCATAGTAGCCATGAAAAGCTACTCATAGTAGCCAAACAGTGGAAATAAAGTACTGATACATGCTACACATGGATGAAGCTTGAAAATGTAATGGGAGGTGAAAGAAGCCAGTTACAGAAGACCATATATTATATGACTGCTTAAATGAAATGTCCAGAATAGGCAAATTTGTAGAGACAGAAAGTAGATTAGTGCTTGCTGTGGGGTTAGGAGAGGTGGAGGAATGAAAGCTGATTGCTTATAGTCACAGAGTTTTGTTTTTGAGATGATTAAAAAATGTGATAACATTAAACTTCAGATACGGCTGTATGATGCATGTTAGAGGTGGTACTTTACATGGTAACTTGTATAATATGTAAATTAGTGTGTCTAGTATATGTTTAAAAACTGGGAGTGACAGACAAGAGGTGATGGTATGTGGATTAGGGATGTAGGGTGGAAATGATGAGAAGCCTCAACTGGGAATGTATTTGAAGGTAGAGCCTGGCAGGATTTACTGATGGATTAGATGTCAAGTGCAAGAGAAAGAAGTCAAGGGTGAGTATCCAAACCAAGTGATGAGCAGATATTTCTTGTGGGAACCTTCTTGTTCTTAAAATCCTCATTAATGTGATAAATTCTTATTTCCTATTCACCAAAGAATCCTCACCTTCCTTTTTAGCTATTGCTGCCTGAAATGAAGGGAAAGTGATAGACTATGAGTGACTTGTTTGTGTTTTAATTATTTAATTAAAAAATATTTAGGGCATATTGTATTCCAAGCATTCAGCTATTGTTGTTTGCTCTTCTATGTTGGTACCATTAGTGGATGATAAAGTTATTTATTAAGAAATTTTGAAGCAAGAATGGATGAAACTTTAAAACTTTTTGGTAAATGTGTACTTTTCTCTGCAGTTCGTTCTATTGGCTCTATTGCACTTAGAAAAGCAGAAGACATTGACTTCAAGTACCACTTTGACTTCTTTAGTGTGAACTTCAATGAGGAACTGGTGGCACTGTATGGTGGCAGTCTTCAGAAGCAGACCAAGTTTGTGCATGAGTGCATTAAAACAATTCTTAAACTCTACAAGGTAAATGATGAGCATGCAGCTCTGTAGTGGTATAGTGGCCAGTCACCGTCTTTTATTTTTTAAAGGGACTCACTATATTTTATGTTATTTTTTAAAAGATCTGTTTATTTGCTTGAGAGGTAGAGTTACAGACAGAAAGAGAGGGACAGACAGAGAGAAAAGTCTTCCATCCACTGATTCACTCCCCATTTGGCTGCAACAGCTGGAGCTGGGCCAATCTGAAGCCAGGAGCCAGGAGCTTCTTTCAGGTCTCCCACGTGGATGCAGGGCCCAAGGACTTGAGCTATCTTCTACTGATTTCCCATACTGCAGCAGAGAGCTGGATCGGAAGTGGAGCAGCCTGGACTCAGACCAGTGCCCATATGAGATGCCAACACCACAGGCAGAGGCTTAGCCTAATGTACCACAGTACTGGGTTTCACTATATTTTAAATCATGTATTTGTTTGTATGGAAGTTGAAGCAAAGATGACACAGGTGTTTTGTTGATTTTTTTCTTTTCTGTTTTTTTTTGAGAGCTTGGCATTTTGAACTCGGTGGTGGTTTTGAAGTTTAAATTCAGTTTACAAGAAACCTTCCTTTTTAAAATTTTCTTAAAAAATTATTTACATTTCATTTGAAAGAGAAGGAGAGGGGAAGAGAGATATCTTCTCTTCACTGTTCATTTCCGAAATGCTCACAACAACCAGGGCTTGGCCAGTCTGAAGTCAGGAGCCTGGAACTCAATCTGGGTCTCCTACTTGGTTGACAGGGACCAAAGTATTTGAGCCATCATCTGCTGCCTCCACTGGGGCACATTAATAGGAAACTGGATCAAAACCAGGGTAGTCAGGACTTGAACCAGGAACTTCCGTGTGGGATATGGGTCATTTCATGCAACATCTTAAATGATGTGCCAAATACCTTCCCCAAGAAGATTTCCTTTAATTAACTAAGAAAAAAAATTTTTGACTTTGTATATAAATTAGGAGCACAATGGTTGTCTTGAAAGCCACTGGTACAGATTTTGCTTCTATCCATGGTAGAGTAACAGATTCTAGATTAGACTCTATTGAGACTAAGCAAGATACCTGAAGCACCCATTTGCAGATGTTGGCCAAGGACCATGCTCTCTGAAAAAGTGAGTTTTGTCATTGCCATAGCTTTCTGCTTAGAAGACCATGGAGCAAGTAGGTAGAGAGCTAGGAGAGTACATTGATACTCACTGAGTGTCCACCTAAGGTAAAAGAAAGAAGAAGGAATATTATGTCTTTAGAGGAATTTCAAAGAGCATCAAAGCAAAGTAAAAATCATTCTGTACCAGCAGTTCTTAGGACTAAATTATAACTACCTGCTGGAGCTGCTTTCTCCCTTGACATGACACTGTGCAAGTCCTGGAGAAAACAGCTGCTGGGGAATTAGAAGATGAGTTGAGATTTCAGAGGCCGTGAAGTGCAGAGAAATAGAAGTTTTGGCCAGCTAGAGTGGAAGAAACTATCTGAGCACTATCAGCTGAGACCTCGGAAAGGACACAATTTAGAATAGGACTACTCTGGTCCTAAATTAAGCACTACTTCAATGTCCGTCTTAATGATGCTTAAAATACAGACCTCAAAAATTTCAAACAGAGTTAAAGATTTAAAGTAAAAATGCATGTAATAAGGGAATAGATGGAGCCTCTCAGTGGAGATACGGCAACTACAAATGAAAGAGAAAGTTTGGAACTGAAACTATACGTATTAGAGATGAAAAATTCAGCAAGTAAGCTTAAACCTGATTGAAGATTACAGAAGAGATAACTAGGTTTTTTGTTTTTGTTTTTGTATATTTTTGTTTTTAAGATTACTCATTTATTTGAAAGTCAGAGTTAACAGAGAGTGTGAGATCTTCTGTCTGCTGCAGTGGCTGGAGCTGGGCCAGTCTGAAGCTAGAAGCCAGGAGTTCCTCTGGGTCTCCTTTGTGTATGCAGGGGCCCAAGCCATCTTCCACTGCTTTCCCAGGTGCATTAGCGGGAGCAGGATCAGAATTGGAGCAGCCGAGACTCACACCAGTGCCCATGTGGGATGCCGGTGTCACAGGTGGTGGCTTTACCTGCTGTGTCACAGCATCATCCAGGAAAATAAAAACTAATCGATATTAAACACAGATAATCAAAAGATGAAAAGGACAGAGACTGAGAAACTCTGTGCACTGAGCAGCTTAGCACATATATAATTGGAATCCTAGATAAAAGAAAAATAGGGAGGGGAAATCAAAGAAATAATGACTTCAAATTTTCAACCCATAGATCCAAGAAGTCCACAGGTATCTAGTAGGATAACACTATAACAAGTACTTAAACAGTATATTTCACTTTGTGTTTCTATGGGGGTACAAACTGTTGAAATCTTTACTTAATGTATACTAAACTGATCTTCTGTATATATAGAAAATTGAAAATGAATCTTGATATGAATGGAAGGGGAGAGAGAGCGGGAAAGGGGAGGGTTGCGGGTGGGAGGGCAGTCATCGGGAGGGAGGAGGATGCCAATGTAGTCCATAAGCTGTACTTTGGAAATCTATATTCATTAAATAAAAGTTAAAAAAAAGTGGATATGCTTAACATAACTGGACTGAGAGTTAAAAATTATTAAGATGATACATTTTACGCTATGTTTTTTAACCACAATAAAAATCAAAACAAAAAAAATAAAATAGTAGGATAACACAAGAAAATTACACCTAAGTATATCATAGACATACTGCTGAAAACCAAAATAAAGGGAAAATCTTAAAAGCAACCAGAGAAAGATCCTTTACTTACAGAGAAAGTAAAAAATTACTACTAATTTTTCATCAGAAGTAATAAAAGAAAATAATAACATCTTAAAGGTCTTGAAATGTTTGTGTTGAGGGGACTCATTCTAAAATTCCATATCTAAAAAGTCCTTCAAAATGACTAACAGTAAATTTTTAGGCTAAAACGGTAGTCCAGGAAAGTAGGATGAAGTGTTCACAAAGCTCTGAATGAAAATTGCCAAGAATACTATCAAAATAGATGAAATCATTATATATATCAAAAGGTTACCTGCACCTCTATGTTAATTACAGTACTATTAACATAGCCAAGATACTCAACCAAAGTATTCATCAGATGAATGGATAAAAAAATGTGGTATATATATGCACAATGGAATACTCTTCAGCCATTATAAAGTATGAAATCCTGTCATTTGTAGCAAAACGGATGGCACAGGTTGAGTTAAAATAAGCCAGACACAGAGACAAATGCTGCCTGTTCTTTCTTTTATGTGAACGCTAAAGAAACAACAACAAAAATCTGATCTATACTAGAAGCTGGGAAGGATAGTAGGAATTTGGCTTAAAAAAATTAGGAGAAGCTGAGTGTAGTTCATTACCTATGACAAATACACCAGTGTAAGATGTTAATAGGGAAGCAGAGTATGGAGTATATGGAAATTCTGTGCAATTTTTGTTTTATAAATTTAAAACTATTCTGAATTGTGAAAAATGAGTATTACACTCAGCAAAACTATCATTCAGAAATGAAAAGAAGGGGTCAGTGCTGTGGTGTAGTAGATTAAGCCTCCGCTTGTGGTGCCAGCATCCCATATGGGCACCGGTTCTAATCTCTGCTGCTCCGTTTCTGATCCAGCTCTGATAGCCTGGGAAAGCAATGGAAGATGACCCAAGTGCTTGGACCCCTGCACCCACATGGGAGACCCAGAAGAAACTCCTGGTTCTTGGCTTCAGCCTGGCCCAGCCCTGGCTGTTGTGGCCATTTTGAAAGTGCCTGGAAGAAGCTTCTGGCTCCTGGCTTTGGATCAGCCCAGCTCTGGCCATTGCGGTCATTGGGGGAGCGAACCAGCGGATGGAAGACCTCTCTCTCTCTCTCTCTCTCTCTCTCTGTAACTCTGCCTCGCAAATAAACAAACCTTTTTTTTTTTTTTTTTTTAAAGAAGAGAAATGGACTTTCAAGGACTGAAGGAATTCATCATGGCCAGACTACCCCTATAAGAAATGCTTAAGGGATTCCTGTATTAGAAGTGAACGAATGATAACATGGAAACACACAAAAGTCCAAATCTCAATAGTAAGGCAGGCAGATACACAAAAGATAAAGAGAGGTGGGTGTTTGGCTGAGTGGTTAAGCTGCTGGTTAGGATTCCTGCATCCCATATTACTGGAGTGCTTGGTTTTGAGTCTTGACTCTGGGTCTCAACTCTAACTTCCTTATACTACATACCTTGGAAGGCAGCAGCAAGTAGGTGGGGTCCCTGTCACCCAAGTGGAAAACCTGGATGGAGCGCTCAGCTCCCAGCTCTGGCCTGGCCTAGCTTCAGCCATTGTGGGCATTTGGGAAGTCCCCTAGCATATGGGAGTTTGATCTCTATGTCTCTCTACCACTCAAAGAAAAAAGGAAAATTCTAAAAAGTCATGTTTTATTTTTGCTTTCTGAATTTGATTTTCTATGTATTAAGGATTTTTTCACCTTAGTTAAGGACTATAGTTCTATAATTTATTTTTCTTGTATTTACTAGGTTTTAATGCCAGAGTTATGTTGGTTCTTAAAATGAGTTGGAAAGTGTTTTATCTTTCTTTGTTTTCTAAAAGAATATATTATTGTGCTATTATTTCTGATTTAAATACCAAGTAGTATTTAGGTCCTTAGCTATCTAAGGGGCTTTGTTAAAAAGATTTTGTTTATTTATTTGAGAAGTAGAGTTACAGACAGAGGCAGAGATAGAGATAAAGGTCTCTTCCTTCCGCTGGTTCACTCCCCAAATGACCACAACGGCTGAAGTTGAGCCGATCTGAAGCCGGGAGCCACAAGCTGCTTCTGGATCTCCCATCTGGTGTTGGGCCATCTTCTAGTGCTTTCCTACGTCACAGGCAGAGAGCTGGATCTGAAGAGGAGCAACCAGGACACGAACTGGTGCCCATATAGGATGCCAGCCCTTCATGCAGTGGCTTAACTGTCTATGCCACAGTGTCAGCCCCTCAATTTTTAATTTTTAAAAAACACGTTGAACAATTATGCCAGTAATTTTGGCATGCCACATAAAATGCACATATTTCTTTAAAAATGGCAAATTCAGAAAACAGAAAAGGAAACACAAATTTTTGAATTGTGTGTCTATATAAGAAATTATATTTTAGGGGCCGGCGCCGTGGCTCACTTGGTTAATCCTCTGCCTGTGGCACTGGCATCCCATATGGGTTCCGGGTTCTGGTTTCAGTTGCTCCTCTTCCGGTCCAGCTCTTTGCTGTGACCCGGGGGGGGGGGGACAGTGGAGGATGGCCTAAGTGATTGGGTGCCCGCACCCACGTTGGAGACCAGGAGGAGGTACCTGGCTCCTGGCTTTGGATCGGTGTAGCGCCAGTTGTGGCGGCCATTTTGGGGGTGAACCAATGGAGGGAGGACCTTTCTCTCTGTCTCTCTCACTGTCTATCTGTCAAATAAAAAGAAATTACATTTTAAAAATCATACCCCTGGATGGAAGATCTTTCTCCTTATCTCTCTTTCTGCCTTTCAAATAAATAAATAAATCTTAAAAAAAAATTAAAAAATAAAAATAAAAATGTTCTCAAATTTGTGTTTTTAAGAGTTTTTTAAGTAAAGTAGAAGGCAAGGAGGGGATAGGAGTATTACTTTATTGATTGATATTTATTTATTTATTGACAGGCAGAGTTAGACAGTGAGAGAGAGAGACAGAGAGAAAGGTCTTCCTTCCGGTGGTTCACCCCCCAGATGGCCGCTACAGCCTGCACGCTGCGCCTGTTCAAAGCCAGGAGCCAGGTGCCCCTTCCTGGTCTCCCATGCGGGTGCAGGGCCTAAGCACTTGGGCCATTCTCCACTGCCTTCCCGGACCACAGCAGAGAGCTGAACTGAAAGGGGAGCAACCGAGACAGAATCCAGCATCCCGACCGGGACTAGAACCCGGGGTGCCGGTGCTGCAGGTGGAGGATTAGCCAAGTGAGCCATGGCGCCGGCCTAAGAGTTTTTTTGTTTTGTTTTTTAAATGATTTATTTATTTGAAAGGCAGAGTTACAGAGAGGCAGAGGCAGAGAGAGAGAGAGGGAGAGGTCTTCCATTTGCTGGTTCACTCCCCAGACGGCCACAGCAGCTGGAACTGAGCCGATCCAAAGCCAGGAGCCAGGAGCCTTTTCCAGGTCTCCGACATGAGTGCAGGGGTCCAAGTACTTGGGCCTTCTACTGCTTTCCCAGGCCATAGCAGAGAGCTGGATTGGAAGTATAGCAGTCGGGACTCAAACAGGTGCCCGTATGGGATGCTGGCACTGCAGGCAGTAGCTTTACACGCTACACCACAGCGCTGCCCCAAGAGTATTTTTTAAATTAAATTTAAAAAGTTAGAAATAGAGCTACCCTGTTACCCAGCAATCCTACTGGGTATATTTGCAAAAGAAATTAGTATATTGAAGAGATGTTTGCACCCCCATTTTTATTGCAGCACTATTCAAAATAACTAAGATGTGAAATCAACTTAAGTATGCATCAATAGCTGAATGGATAAAGAAACTTTGTTATATTTTTACATTTGGGATAATATTCAGCCATTAAAAAAGATGAAATTCTGTTATTTGCAACAACGTGGGTGAACCTGTAGGACATTATGTTATGTGAGATAAGCCAGACACAGAAAGACAAATACCACATGATCTCACTTATATATGGTCTCTTAAAAAGTTGGTCTCAAAGAATTCATATTAGAATAGTGATTACCAGAGGTTGGGTGGGAGGTGGGGTAATGGGGAGAGGTGAGTAAGTTCAGTGTTGTAGTTAGAGGGAACAAGTTTGGTGCCCTTTTACACAGCAAGACTTCTATAGATAATATACATTTCAAAATGGCTAGAAGAGAGGATTTTGTATGTTCTCACCACAAAGAAATGTTAAATGTTTGAGGTGATATATATGCTAATTATTCAATTCGATCATTGCACAGTGTGTACATGGATCAGGACATCACATTGTACCATATACATATGTGTGATCATGTGTCAATTAAAAATAAAACTTAAAAAACAAAGCTTGTTAGTGGGACTGAGGATAGTGCTGGAAACACAAAAGATATTTTAAAAAGCAATTAAGCAATATCTATATTCTTTTAATTTGAAACATAGTTGTCAGTGAATGTTTGGAATGCTTATTTACTGGTAAACCCTAGTGCACAGTAGAGAAACAATTCAGTGAGTTAAGAAATATTAACATGATAAGGTAGGATATTGCTATAGCAACTACATTTGTCAACTTTTTTGGTTGTGGTTTCAGTTGCAATTAATGATTTGTTGTTATAAAATCTAATATTCTGGCTTATATCAATATAGTTATACCTCAGATTATATACAACATAACAAATGATACGAACATGATTTGCTAAATCAAGTATTCCAATTTTGGTTCAGAACTCCAAAGTATACCTGTTAAAAATGTTTGGCAGAACACAAAATGGCATGAATACAGTAATTGAAATCATATGAAAATATTTTTGTACTTTATTATGAAAGATTATATAATTTACCTTTCCTGTTTTCTGTAACTTTGCTCCTGCAGAGAGGAATATTTTTTAATATTTTATTAAACTAAACCTTAATTATGCTTTGGTGATTTTTTTTGAAACAGGGTCAAGAATTCGCTCCAAAAAGTGTGGCAATAATTGGTCATTCTATGGGTGGCCTTGTTGCAAGAGCATTGCTTACACTGAAGAATTTTAAACAAGATTTGATAAACCTTCTTATTACACAGGCCACACCTCATGTTGCTCCTGTGATGCCATTAGATCGCTTCATCACGGGTGAGTGCTGCTGACGTAAACACTGACTGACTTCCCCATTGTTGTTCGGGATTAGTGAAGTAAATCTCTAGCAGTGCCCTTTAGGGTGCACCACAAATTCCCCTGTGGGCAATGGCTCCGTTGCAGATCAGCACCTCCAATACTGAGCATCTTGTGTCTTTCAGCTTATGCCCATGATTGAATTACTCTTAGTTTTCTCTGTGAATAACTTCTTAACATGTTTGACGTGTGCTTTTTAATTCCTGGGCTTCAGCTTCATTTTCCCAGAGGATAATTCCCTGTTTCTTAAAATACATTTAAATTTCTGTGCTGTTAACTGTTTCAGGTTTCTTCAAAATTATCTTATATTTAAGTAAAATAATAGCAATATGTAGCTTTTATTTTTTTATTTTGTTTATTTTTAAATTTCTTTTTTGACAGGCAGAGTTGGACAGTGAGAGAGAGAGAGACAGACAGAGAGAAAGGTCTTCCTTCCGTTGGTTCACCCCCCAAAATGGCCGCTACGGCCGGCGCGTTGCGCCAATCTGAAGCCAGGAGCCAGGTGCTTCCTCCTGGTCTCCCATGCAGGTGCAGGGCCCAAGCACTTGGGCCATCCTCCACTGCCTTCCCGGGCCACAGCAGAGAGCTGGACTAGAAGAGGGGCAACCGGGACAGAATCCGGCGCCCTGACCGGGACTAGAACCCGGTCCCCCACATGGGTGCAGGTGCCCAAGGACTTGAGCCATCTTCTACTGCTTTCGCAGGTCATAACAGAGAACTGGATAGGAAGTGGAGCAGCTGGGTCTTGAATTGGTGGCCATATGGGATGCCGGCACTGCAGGTGGCGGCTTTCCATGCTACGCCACAGCACCAACCCCTAGCTTTTATTTTAAAATTTCCTTTATTTATTTGAGAGGCATGTCTGTTGGCCCCATCTCCAAATGCTGGCAGTGGCTGGGGCAGTGCTGGACTGGCCTGAAGCTGGAAACTCCATCCAGGTCTCCCATCCTAGAGTCCAGTTACTAGAGTCATCACTGCTGCCTCCCAGGGTACACATGAGCAGGAAGCTGGAGCCAGGACTTGAGCACAAATACTCTGATATGGGACGTAGGTGTCTCAATTCTTTGGCTAACCACTTGCTCCAATTTTAAAATAAATGGGTGTTTAATAGTACTTTCTAATTACTAATAGAACTTAGTGAATAAGTAAATCCCTGTAGTTGAGGCAGAATTACTAATATTATTGGGCTGTTACTCTTTTTGAGAATTAAGGACTTTACATGATATATTACCACACTTAATTCTCTTGGCAGTTAATCTGATACCAAAAAAGGGCCAAGATAAAGTTATTGTCCCAACATCATACAGCAAGAAAGCATTGGAGTTAGCATTTGACCGTGACAGGTTTACTGCTGGGGCTGTCCCCTTAACCTTTGTGTGCTGTACTGTCTCTTGATTGAGGTACATTACTATAACATAGGAAATAAAGTGATGGATAATACTATAATGTTGCAGGGAATTTTGAGTGAACAGTAGGAGTTTGTGATTGGTGTCATATAATTCAATAGTGATAATGATGCAGAATAAGAATCAAATAGGGGCCGGTGCTGTGGCACAGTGGGTTAAAGCCCTGGCCTGAAGTGCAGGCATCCCATAGGGGTGCTGGTTCTATTCCTGGCCACTCCACTTTCAATCTTGCTCTCTGCTGTGGCCTGGCAAAGCAATAGAAAATGGCCTAAGTCCTGGGGACCCTGCACCTGTATGGGAGACCCAGAAGAATCTCCTGGCTCCTACCTTTTGATTGGTGCAACTCTGGCTGTTGTGGCCATCTGGGGAGTGAACCAGTGGATGGAGGACCTCTCTCTCTCTCTCTCTCTCTCTCTCTCTCTCTCTGCTTCTCTGTAACTCTGTCTTTCAAATAAATAAAATAAATCTTTAAAAAAAAATAAGAATTAAATATCTACTATCTTAACTTTTTTGACAAAGTCAGTTATTACCTTTGTTGTTTATAGGACTATTATATGAGTAGGAAACAGTCATTAGAAATAACTTTTACATAAACTTCTTATCTGTCAAAATTTGTATAATCCTGATTTTCATGACAAATTTCTTTGTGGTAAGTTAGAACTATCCCCTAGTGGATATAAACCAAAGTAGTTCCCTAAAATGTCCTCCTTAACTAACAGCATTGCAAGGGAATAATTTATTTGCTGTAAATATCTGATGCAACAGTATTTTCAAAAAAGTGTGATTTTCCCCCATTATTTACATTTGAAACTTTGCTTATAAAAATCTTTTAATATCAAAAATTTAATTTTTCAATGAAATTGTTTAAATAGCAACTACTTCTAATAATTATAAGTGACCATAGGTTTAGAAACAAAATTAAAGGATAAAAATGCATTTAAAAATATTCTTTGAGGGATGAATGTTAGTAATCTCAAGTTTTATTATTTTGAAGGATGGTGATGGCTCAAGTGAAAGTGTTTTTTGGGTCTACCTTTCTTGTAATTAGTAAGCCTCTTTTTGTTCCACATTTATTTTTCATTGCATTGTCAAGATTAGGATGAAAAAAGAACTAATTCAGAGGGCAGTGGGTTTTTAAGGTTTTGGGAAAGAGAGACTCAGAAGACCTTCAGAAGCAGATTGCCTGTTTATAACCGTACTTGGTGATATTACTGCTTTTAGAGGGAAGGATGCCCTGCACTGGGCTCTGCACTCTCCTTTTTCTGAAAAGAACACTTCCTCTCCTTTTTCTGAAGTGTGAGAAATGTGCAGGCTAAGCAGCCTTCCCATTTGTAGCTTATGCGATTACTTTTAGACTATGATCCAGGTAATCAAGCCTCCATAATTTCTTGCCCATATGCCCCAAGCCCAATGCCAGGGCCTCTGTGGGCCTAACTGGCTTAGTTCTTCTGAGGGTAGGTATGCATAATCCTAACTCTGAGTTGTGGCCAGTGGTGGTTCTACAGAAACTACAGAAAGACTGTGTGTGTATACACACAGCCTTTCCAATGCAGGGTGGAATTGGGATGGGAAGAGAGAAAGGATAGCACAGTAATGGACCAGAGATCTCTTCTCTCTGTGCTGCCATATTCATTGTTCAACTCTGAAGCGCCTGAGAATTCTTGATTTGAACTTGTCCTTTCAGGTTATTTCAGTGATACATTTGTCAAGGTAGGAAAAGGAAACATTTTTTATTTAACAATTTGGCAGTTGGATTTTTGACTTTTGAATATTTAGACATATGACTTATGTCCGTCCCCTGCTGGTATTCTTGTCCCAAGACCTCCAAGTGTTAGGGCTCTGTTAGGTTGATAGTGCTCTAAGTAAATATTGCTGAGCGCTTTAAAGAGAGCAGCTTGCTCTACCGAATGTTTGGAGCCCTCTGATCAAATGCCAGGATATAAATGGATTAAATTTTGATAAACAGGAAAGAAATGATCTCAATTTAGTTATCTTTGACTCTAAAATTTTCTGACCTTCCAGAGACAAAGGGAAACATTATCTCAGCCTTTTCCCTTTGAACTACTTCTCACAATGAAATGGGTAGAACTCCAGCAGCACAGTCCTAAGATTAGTGTCAGTGGTACTGTCCTGATACCCTGTGTTATAAGATTTAAAGTACCTTGTACAGTGACCGTTGGCCACAATGGAGTTGCTAAACCTCATAAACAGGGACCCTGCCATCATAGGGAACTCTTTTTATTTAAGACCACTTTATCAAGTAATTTAAAAACTGCACATATTTAATAGATGTAATTTCATGGCTTTGAAAACATGCACATACCATGAAACAGCACAAATGTCTTTAGCAAAATAAGTTCTTTGGAAGAATTTTATAATTTTCTTTTCTTACTATACCACATGATTTCTGATTAAGCATTACCCTTGTGGAATGTAGAGAGATGCTTGCGTGTGAATTTGTCAAAGCCAGTAAAATCTGGATCTTTTTTTCTTTCTTGGTGTATTTTTAACTCTTAGTATTGATACTCTGAATCAATAGGGTAAACCAGGATGTGTATAAAGATGCTGATTTTTCTCAAAATGTGAATAACACAGTTTATAGACCAGATATCTTAAGCAAAAATTCAGTTAAATACTGGTTAAAAATTCAGTTAAATATTGTAGATATTGTTACTACAATACTTTTAAATGTCTCTTTTTCATTCCCTACCAGATTTTTATATGACTGTCAACAACTATTGGATTCTAAATGCTCGACACATAAATCTAACCACACTTTCTGTAGCTGGAGGATTCCGGGATTACCAAGTTCGTTCAGGACTGACTTTTCTACCAAAATTAAGCCATCATACCAGTGCCTTATCTGTTGTGGTAATTTTTTTTTTTTTTTGAGATGCTACTGAAGCAGAATCATGATGGACATAGGGGAACATGAATGGGGAAGTAATATGTACTGCTGAGTTGATGTTGTGGGCTTGCTGCTCTTCAGTGCATGTATGTGAGATAGAAGAGAATAGGGAATATGAATGAATGCATGTGAATATGTTGGGAGGGCAGAGTTTTATATGTTTATATGTTTATGTTCATAGAAAGTAAATAGGATTTTAGAACTTTTCTGAAAATGAGTTCTGTTTTTGCAGAATAATCATTTCTTGTCTAAAATAAGAGTTTATCTATTGATTAGAGTTGTAAATATAAGACAGTGGTCTGCCAGTGCTGCGGCTCACTAGGCTAATCCTCTGCCTGTGGCGCCGGCACCCCAGCTTCTAGTCCCGGTCGAGGCGCCGGATTCTGTCCTGGATGCTCCTCTTCCAGTCCAGCTCTCTGCTGTGGCCCGGGAAGGCAGTGGAGGATGGCCCAAGTGCTTGGGCCCTGCACCCATATGGGACACTAGGAGCAAGCACCTAGCTCCTGGCTTTGGATCAGCGCAGCGTACTGGCCGTAGCAACCATTTGGGGGGTGAACCACCGGAAGGAAGACCTTTCTCTCTCTCTCTCTCTTTCACTGTCTAACTCTGCCTGTGTATATATATATATATATATATATATATATATATATATAATGGTCTGTAAATGCTGTCTATATAGTAGTGATATAATATCAAATGTTTCACATAGTCCTGAACACTAAACTTGAGTGAAGATTTCTCAATTTTAAAGTAAAATGATTAGCTTTGAAAAGTATTAATAGGATACTGATTAATTAATTGCTAATTATTCTTCCCTGCTAAGAAATATGTATTTGATCTTTAACAGGGATACCCAGCCTATGTGAAGTGAACTCAAGTTTCCTTTTAGGATTTCTTTCTTGTATATTTAACCTTGAAGTCTTCAGTTAAGATTTTAATTCAGTATATACATCACCTCCAAATATAACTTAATTTACTTTCTCAAGAGAAAGTCAATAGAGTGCAGTCAGTCCATTCCTTTTGCTTTTTAGGAAATAATGCTAGAAAGTCACTGTTTCATACTTGTTCCTTTTCACACATGCTCCTTTGTTCATCTTATTTGCTGTTACCTCACCTTAGATCACTATGTATTCATTAAATAGATATTTACTGAACTGTGCTATATGTGAAGAAAAAATACTAAGCTATTCGGCATCATTTTCTTATAACTGGAGGAAGTGGATTGTAGCCAGTATCGCTTTGGAAATAAATTGATAAATCTCTCAGACCTCATTATTTGTGGTATTAAACCTGTTATTTGTTGTTGAATTTATTGGGCAGCTATTCATTCAAGTTCTCAAACAACTAAATGTCAACTCTTCAGTAAACATAGGTGATTTAGTCATATAAAATTACGTATAACTTAGGTTCTGAACCTGGCCTGGCTAGATAACACATCCCGAAGCTTGTCTTTTTTTTTTTTTTTTTTTTTTTTTTTTTGACAGGCAGAGTGGATAGTGAGAGAGACAGAGAGAAAGGTCTTCCTTTGTCGTTGGTTCACTCTCCAATGGCTTTTTTTTTTTTTTAAAAAACCCCCCCCGCACCGCGCTGATCCGATGGCAGGAGCCAGGTACTTATCCTGGTGTCCCATGGGGTACAGAGCCCAAGCACTTGGGCCATCCTCCACTGCACTCCCGGGCCAGAGCAGAGAGCTGGCCTGGAAGGGGGGCAACCGGGACTAGAACCCGGTGTGCTGGCACCGCTAGTTGAGGATTAGCCTAGTGAGCCGTGGCGCCGGCCCCTGAAGCTTATCTTTTAAAGACCTTTGGTCTTTTAAATCTTCTCTGTGTATGCATTCCTGTTTTTTCTAATCCATTTCATAATGTATTGCTTTCAAGACAGCTTGTATTCGTGAACCTTCGATGAAAATATTTTGTTCTTGAAGCTTTCTCAAAGCTGAGTATTTTCCAGCCTTATTGTTTCAGCCCCAGATAATCTGTAGTCTTTCATGTATCTACATGCATGTTGACTCTTAATATATTAACTATTATTAAGAAGTAACAGTTTTTGAAAAAACTATCTCAAACAGCTAGGTGACATTTATGTTCACTGGAAATAGAAAAACTATTAAAGACCATAATTGTATTGGTAGGATAGGCAAAACTGCATGATTTTCTAAGTGTTCCATTGAAGGTCCAGGTTTACAGCAGGCCCTCCATCTGTAATGTTTTACTTGCAAGGTTTCTGTGGTCATTACTAGTTCAACTCTCAAGATAGAGGAGAGAACATAGGAAGAAACACACGCCACTGCTGCTCACATAACATTAGAAGAAACTCAGTTACACCTTAAAACAAGGCAGGTGAAGAGATGTAGTTTTACCAAATGTACCAGAAGGGATTTGGATGGACATTAGCACCTTTCATCACAACAGTCATGAGCAACTAATTTTTTTGTGTTTTGCCTTTCTTTTTTGAACTTTAGCACACATGCGTTAAACTAATTGAAAGTTAACCATTTTGCATTCTCTTGGTAATGGTACATACTGTCTATTGGGATCTCTTCTTCAACTTAGCATCTAATCTAAAAACCACAGTAAACTCAAGTAAGCCATCAGCAGTAATTTCTAAATATATCAAGTTCTTATGTAACAGACAAGCTATGGATTCTTCCCGCTTCAGAAACTGGAACCCAGAGACACATTATTTCTAGAGTACAAGGGTAATGATGGATGCTTAGAAGGTATACATATTTTTTATTAGTTCATTTATTAAGGAAACATTTTTAAGACCTCAATTTTCACACAACCAAGCTGATGGTCTCCTGTTTTTGTTTTGTTCTGATAGTTGTGTTGGTGGCAGCTCATTGTTTCTTTGACAGTGCAGAGAGAGATGCTATGAGAAATAGAATTAGGCTTATTGAATGAGCTCTGTTAGAGTAAGATGCTGTTCAGAGAGAGGTCGTTACCAGCTATGAAGGGGTTAGGAAGTCTGCAAGTGATCCTGTTTTCCAGGAGTTGTTTGCCTTTATGTCTGTAACCAGCAGTATACATACTAAATTTTTTTTAAAATACGATTTTTTTTTTTCAAAATAAGGAAGCCTGATACCACTTGGTAGTCTCAAAATTATGATCAAGCATAATTATTTTTAAAAATATCTCTAGGCCTAAGTATTTTTCATATACACCCCTGATTAAGAAGTAACATCTTAGATTCTACCAAGTGGTAATTGAGTGAAAACCAAAAGTACTGAAATATCTATTGTAACTTACAAATAATATTGATATATGAATGAAAAACACAACCTTTTATCAATTTAAAAGTTAGACATTAAACTTAAATACAGAGTCTGTGGATGCTTTAATCATTTTTAAAATAATTTAAGCATCACTGGCCAGTAATACCATTTAGAAAGAGTTGTGATATTTTTTGCAGGAAATAATATATTTTGATGACCCTTTACAAGAGTGTATCATTTTTATATATCAACATATCATAGTGAGACTAATGTGTTTCTTTTTTTTTGATTATTTATTTATTTGAGAGGTAGAGTTACAGACAGTGAGAGGCAGAGAGAGAGAAAGTCTTCCATCCTCTGGTTGACTCCCCAAATGGCCACAGTGGCCGGAGCTGCACTGATCCGAAGCCAGGAGCCAGGAACCAGGAGCTTCCTCCTCGTCTCCCATGTGGGTGCAAGGGCCCAAGCACTTGGGCCATCCTCCACTGTTTTCCCAGGCCATAGCAGAGAGCTGGACTGGAAGAGGGGCAACTGGGACCAGAACCGGTCCCACATGGGATGCTGGCGCCACAGGTGGAGGACCAACCCACGGCGCTGGCCCCCAGTGTGTTTCTAATTATTATATTGTAGGAGTTTCAGACCTTTCAGTAAATAACAACTGTGTTTTTCCCAAGTTGATTTTTTTTTCTTTTCCTGTTAGAGTTCAGCAGTGCCTAAGACCTGGGTCTCAACAGACCACCTCTCCATTGTGTGGTAAGTTAATATAATTTATTTTGTTAATATGGTGTGGTGCTCTTTTCTCATCAGTGCATTAATTGGTTCATTAGCTTTCTTAGAATCTTTCCTACAAATAATTAAGTTTATGGGAGAAAGATTAATTCAGGGACTTAATACTCTAGCTTTGATTCTTGTCTCAGTTTGATCAGGGTCCCCTTTATAATCTATAACATCACTTCCTAAAAAGACCAGAAGCATCTATCCCAAATGAAGTTAGCATCAAATACCAAAATTTTAGAATTTATCATAGGTGGGAGAGATCAAATGTGCCACTGGTAGGACTCCTGGCTGATCACCTTTCTTGGGTACTTGGTTAATGCAGCAGTAACAATTCTAGCTAGCAACACATGGAAAACCTACAATAAATTAGACTTACCCTTAATATAAAATCCATATAAATGGATCAAGAAATAGGCAGACCTGGTATTTATATTTACATGTTGTGGCTTAAAGATTCCCTTTGACCTTCCTCTAGTTGTACCAGCAGTAGGATCTGAAGAAATGCAACAGTTCAGACATATAAAGATGGGGCAGATAGTATGCTTATAGCTAGGAAATTTAGGGAATACAGAAGGACCCTGACAATTCTATCAAATGTCCCAGATTTAATTTGCTTTATGAGTGTCAACTTTAAGACACACACTTAATAAGAGTGATTTGTTAATTTTTGATTGTACAGCATTAAAATAAATCCAAATATTCCATTAAATAATAGACTCATGTGTTTGGTATATATTTTAAGAAAGTTTCATTTGTAACATTTACTTTATTCTTTAGGTGTAAACAATTGCAATTGACTACAATTCGAGCATTCTTTGATCTTATTGATGCTGATACTAAACAAGTATGTATTTTTAAGCTAAAAATTATTTCATCAAAGTGAAAACCTTTGTTATAGCAGTGATAGATGTAATGCATTTTTTTACTTTGAAAAATTTATCAATTTTAATTTGTTCTAAAATGGAAATATTTTGTGTTTTTTTCTGATAATATTATGACAACTGTTAATAATTCACAGGATGCAATGTAAATGAAAAGTCATAGGATACCTTAAATCTTACCTCAAGTTATCCCTTTACTGTTTAAAGTTTGGTATATATCTATTTTTAAATTAAGGGAAATACACGCTGCTTGATAATACTTTTTCTCTGTAATGTAAACATAATCACCTATCTCATTAGACATTTTTAAACCATGTTTTTAAAAATATCTTTAGCTTTATGATAAGATCAAAATATGTACATTTATTCAATAACCCCAAGCTCATGAGAACTTAAATATGTACTTCCACAAATTGAGCTTTTCTATAATGAAATTTCACAGTATAAACTCTTCAAACTAGTCATTTTCCAAGTTGTCCAATTAGCAGAACCCTTGGAATCATAGTGTCCTCATCACCCTTTCATCTCTGTCTTGTCTGCTAGCAAGTAAATAGGAGCAGGCACCAAGGATCTCAGCCAAATTCAGAGAATTCTATCCATTAACTTAAACTTTTCCTGTGAGTTGGAACAAATTGCATTATTTTTTAAACATTTTTTTTTACCTCAGGTTGTCTTGCAGTTTATCACCTTTAATGGAAATATGTTTTAAAAACTGTGACTCTGCCTTCTCCCTGTCTTTTAAGTTGCCTTTTTCATTCTGGCATTGTATTGCAGCCCAAATACTTTGGGAATCAGGCTCCAGTTCTTTGAGAGGCCGTATGCACGATATCTTTATCAATAGGTCTCTAGGCAGTAGTTTCCTTATCATTGTGTGTCAGAACTTTTGTATTCTCTTCAAGGGTGGGAAAAGTGTCTTTTTTCTGTGAGTCTCAGAAAGTTGTGTAACTACTATTAATAGAGAATTATAGATTTTTATCTCTTTTGAGGATCCAGATTATTCTGGTTTACCACATCCTAAGCCACAAGATTTCATATTGAGATAATATCTTTACTGAGTAAATTAAGCATCATGGAATTGACACTGTGACTTGGTTGTAGAACATAAACATTTTTTGGTTTATTAACATTGTTTTAATTGAGAGTCTATGGCAAAACATTTTAAGTATACTTGAGAGAGTGCAATTAGATACAATAGTACAATCAATTAAAACCGAAAGAACAGTTTGTACTTGAACCAATATTTGGTGAATTTATTCCGACCAAAGAAGAAGTACTTCAGACAAGTATATTCCTTTAAAAATTGTATGTAAAACTAATTTTAATAAAGTCATGTTTTCTAGTAACATAATACAAAAGCCCTAATACTAACATACAGTAAATTTTAATTCTGATACATATTTTACAGACACATTTTAAGGGGCAAAAAAGAAATTTTTGATAACTACACGCTAAGAATCAAAATACAATACTATTTTATGAAACTGAGTTTTACTTAACATATTCATTACAACCAGCCCTTTATATCAGTACTTGTGGATTTAACTAACTACAGATTGAAAATGTTTGGGGAAAAAATTGCATATCAACTTAACATGTTTTTTTTTTTATTTTTTTAATTAAAAAAAAATTTTTTTTTGACAGGCAGAGTGGACAGTGAGAGAGACAGAGAGAAAGGTCTTCCTTTGCCGTTGGTTTACCCTCCAATGGCCGCCGTGGCCGGTGCACTGCGCCTATCAGAAGGCAGGAGCCAGGTGCTTCTCCTGGTCTCCCATGGGGTGCAGGGCCCAAGGACATGGGCCATCCTCCACTGCACTCCCTGGCCACAGCAGAGAGCTGGCCTGGAAGAGGGGCAACCGGGACAGAATCCGGCGCCCCAACCGGGACTAGAACCCGGTGTGCCGGCGCCGCAAGGCAGAGGATTAGCCTACTGAGCCACGGCGCCGGCAACTAAACATGTTTTATTCCCTAAAAAATATAGTAAAACAACTATTTATATAGCATTTGCATTAAATTAGGTGTTATAAGTAACCTAGAGATGATTTGAAGTAAATGGGAGGATTACATAAGTTATATGTTGATGCTATGCTATTTTATGTGAGGGATATGGTTTCCGTTGGAGGAGGGTTCCTGGAACCAATCCCCACAGACACTGAGGGATGACTGTATATATAATACTCTGGACTAAATTCTATGAAATAAAAATTTAGCAAATGATTTCCAGTGTACAAGAAGCATGTAGTCTAACAGGAGAACAGAACATAAATATGGGGAAACTTTAACTCAGGGTTGAATTAGTCCCAAGCATGTAGTGCTAAATCAGGAATCAGAATTAGAGGATTATTTTTGGTGTGTATTAGCATAAAAGTCAGTTGAAAACTTGTGTGTAATTGCTTAAAGAGTGAGTAAAGAAGATAGGGTCTTGGCTTAATGAAAGTTTTGGAATAAAAACTTATGCTTTTAATCGATAGCAAACAGATGTGTCTGCTTTTTTTTTTTTTTTTTTTTTTTGACAGGCAGAGTGGACAGTGAGAGAGAGAGACAGAGAGAAAGGTCTTCCTTTGCCGTTGGTTCACCCTCCAATGGCCGCCGCGGCCAGCGCGCTGCGGCCGGCGCACCGCGCTGATCCGATGGCAGGAGCCAGGAGCCAGGTGCTTTTCCTGGTCTCCCATGGGGTGCAGGGCCCAAGCACCTGGGCCATCCTCCACTGCACTCCCTGGCCACAGCAGAGAGCTGGGCTGGAAGAGGGGCAACCGGGACAGAATCCGGCGCCCCAACCGGGACTAGAACCCGGTGTGCCGGCGCCGCTAGGCGGAGGATTAGCCTAGTGAGCCGCGGCGCCGGCTAGATGTGTCTGCTTTAACAAGTCAAACTGTTAGACCAAACTGATTATAGAGTTTGTATCAATGAATAGAAAAATTCCACTGTCCTCTCTAATTACACCATACCTGGTGAACGGTATACTACTCTGTGTGCCCTCTTTTAAGGGGGGACATCAACAAATGTGAATTTATCCAGGAGAGGCTATCAGGATGGCAAAGGAACTAATTGAGTTGCATTAAAAAGTTGATGTATTTGTCAAGTTGTTTAATATAAACCATAGAAGAAACACATTTTTAGATGGTTAACATAATAGTCTTCAAATTTTGGAAAAACTATCCTCAATATTTCAGAGAACAGGAAATCAGGTATTTGCTCTAAATAGGGTAGAATGTTCTCCTGGTAAGATTTGCTCAAATTGGAATGTGTTGTTTTACAAAGTAGCTCGTTAGAAATGTTCAAGCAAGGCTGGCGCCGTGTCTCACTAGGCTAATCCTGCGCCTTGCGGCGCCAGCACACCGGGTTCTAGTCCCGGTCAGGGCACCGGATTCTGTCCCTGTTGCCCCTCTTCCAGGCCCTAGCTCTCTGCTGTGGCCAGGGAGTGCAGTGGAGGATGGCCCAAGTGCTTGGACCCTGCACCCCATGGGAGACCAGGATAAGTACCTGGTTCCTGCCATCGGATCAGCGCGGTGCACCGGCCACAGCGTGCTGGCCGCAGCAGCCATTGGAGGGTGAACCAACGGCAAAGGAAGACCTTTCTCTCTGTCTCTCTCTCTCACTGTCCACTCTGCCTGTCAAAAAAAGAGAAATGTTCATGCAAATGCTAGGAAACTACCTAAGGGAAGATTTAGTATTCCTGGGTCTTCACTGTCACTATCATTTCTTTGCCATTATCTCATTGTGTTGTTAATGAGAAAATCATTTGCATATCAGGCCTCAATGCTTAAACTAGAGAATTAAATAGTGATAGATTGCAAATGGATTTTTATAGCCCAGTACATTTTTCTTTTTTAAAGGGAGAAGTTTATATAAAGTTAGCAACTTTTATTGCATTAGGATATAAGAAAGCAAGTAGAACAGAGTAAAAGAGCCTAGCTTCCAGGGCCAGCGTTATGTCCTGGAGGCTTGAGCCACCACCTGCAGCATTGGCTTTCAGTATGGGCATTGGTGTACCATTTGAGCAATGGTTATGGTCCCGGCTGCTCTACTTCGGCTCCAGCTCTGCCATTGTGCCTGGGAAAGCAGTGGAGAATAGCCCAAGTGCTTGGGTTCCTGCACCCACATGAGAGACCAGAGAGAAGCTTCTGGTTCCTGGCTTTGGCCTGGTCCAGCCCCAGCTATTGTGGCAGTTTGGGGAGAACTAATGGGTGAAAGATTTCCCTACCCCCCTCTCTAATTCTGCCTTTCAAATAAATAAAATAAATATTTTTTTTAAAGAGTGTAGTTTCCAAGGAATGACAGTTGGCAAACCATACTTTCTTCTAGTGACTGTTGAATTCTTTGTTGAGGGATTGGCACTTTTCTGAGTTTGGGAACCAGTGTGTTGGAATCTCTTAAGTTGTCTTCTATTTTTGAACATCTTTATAATGTTTTATTCTTAGTGTTCCTTCAGAAGTATCATTGTATAATGAGTAAAAGCATGGGCTCTAGAGCTAGAATAGGGTTTGAATCACAGCTTAGACTCTTATAGCTGTGTGACCTTGGCAAGTTCCTTAATTTCTCTGTGCTTTAATTTCTTCATAATTAAAATGCAGATAATGTTATCTCTTAGAATTCTTGTGTTGCTTATGTTGCTTAAATGAATTAATAGTATGTTTAGGTCTTAGAACAGTTTCTAGCTCAGAATAAGCAAGTGTTGGCTCTTGTCATTATTACTTAAAACAGTGTTTCACTGAACTGTCAGGATATAAAACAATATAAAATATATCAATGTTCTTTCTAGATAACTCAAAACCCCAAGAAGAAATTGTCAGTTTTGAATCACCACTTTATAAGACATCCAGCAAAACATTTTGAGGAAAATCCATCAATAATTTCTGACTTAACAGGTTGGTGGTAATAGTATATCTTATATTTAAGTAGATTTCTTCATTATTTTTAGATAAATATATTATTATTAAAACCTTTGAAACTATGATACTTTAAATATTATAATCCTATTAATATTTTTATTAATTCCTATATGATAGTACTGGTGAAGCTCTTAGTTAGGAAAGGCAAAATAGAAAAGCAACTTTTAAGGTGTTGATAAAAATTTTGACTTGAAAATAACATGACAGATGAAAAACTTTTAGCAATACATATTTTTATTCTCCTGGCAGTCACATAAAATAAGTGCTTTCTGTCTATGACTCCTTTCTAAGTTTCTCATCTCAGTTGTTCTTCAGTCTTCTTTTAGATTACCAGCATTATCTTTTGCTGGTAAAATTTGCTTTTAAATAAACATAATAATACTATTTTATGATCTACTCAATTATATGTTTTATTTGGAAATAAAATATTTCCTTCTGTTGCTATTTTCACATAGCTGAAGACACCAAATAGATTTATAATATTTTACTTGATGTGAATGCTAGTTAGTGATGAATACATAGAGAATAATATATTAATAGAGTTTATTTGTTATGCCTGAGAATTGTTTCACACAGAGTCAAAAAAATTATTGGTATCAAAACAAGGCAAATAAATTAATTTTATTTATCTTAAGGGACATCTATGTGGGTTCCAGTAAAAGTGTCCAGGTGGACTTATGTGGCTTACAATGTAAGTATAATGGTTTTTTTCTCAAAAATACTTCAATATTTATCTTTAAAAGCTAAAGACTCTTAAGAATCTTAACTTGTGCCGTTTTCCCACAATTTGATAATTCCTTAATAAAATTCTAGTCAGTGTTCAGTTTTACAGTTTTATTGTAAATTTACCTTTATTTTGGTTGATTCTCTTTGTTTTTCAATTCTGTCTTTTTAAATTAGAATCTAGACAACGCCTATACATTGTTATTGATTGATAGGTCTTATATTCCTCTTTAATCTGTAATACTTTGTCCACCCCTCTTTTTTTTTTAATTTATTTATTGAAAAAATAACAGGTCAGATGTCCTATAGAGCCTCATGGTCTTGATTTTTGCTATTCCTATGGCAGTTATAGATTAGAGTCTCAGTCTTGATTGCATTCCTGCCGTTATTCAGTATGGCAACACATTTTCTATGATTTTTCTGTTTAGATGCTTGATCAGATTAAGGCTTTAGTTTTTTTTGTTGTTCTTAGTTTTACTAGACTATTTCTCTTTGTTTTAGTAGCAGCTGTTGAGGAATGCCTGGAATTATTAATTCACTTAGGAGTATGCAAAAATGGTGATACTCTTATTTATTATTCCTTCTTCATTTATTAACTGAGATATTATCTAGAAAAACTGCCCCTTATCCACTCAGTTTATCTGACATGGAACAAATCATAAGGGAAAATAATGATAATTGCTTACATCTTTGGATCTTACCTTGTATTTACTGGTTGTCAGAATAGTGAATTGGCTTATAAGCATCCTCCATCAGCAGTGCTTTTCCCCAGTATTGTTATAAACTCATTGATTTAACTTTATGCTTCAGTTCATTGATATTAAAATTGTTCTATGTTTGCCCAATGCAAGCCATTGCAAGTTTCACTCCTTAGTCGTTCTGATAGAACTTTTTGTTGTCTTTAATAGTTTCGTCCTTGTCCAGTTTGTCTAGATTAGTTCAACTCCATTTGTACATTTTCTACACCAGTCCCTGGATCTGTTATTTCTCTAAGGAACTATTTCTTTTATTTGGGAAATGATATCTTAAAACCACAATGTGTCTATAGAGATGCTTTTGGCTACTCAGTTGACATTTGTAGGCCTTTTTAGTGGCCAGACCTAAGAGATGTATTTTAATGTAACTAAAAGGTCAGAAACCACAATGAAACAACAAGAAAATGTGTTCATACAGATAATTCCAGGACAAATTCAATACTAAGAGTTTATACCTAATCTCTGAGAATACATAAATGTTGTACCTCTGTATTCTCTTCCTCCTACTGCTAGAATATTGATTCTTAACAACTCTAAGAATGATAAGGTTAGGATTATTACTCATTCACTTTATCTGGATTCTTGAGTGATTTAATTTTCCACTTATTAAAGCTATATTGTGTGTTTTCCTTCTATTTTTTAGGAATCTGATAAGATATATTTTACATTTCCTCTTGCAAATCACAGAAAAATCTACACTCATGTCTATTGTCAGAGCACCATGCTGGTAAGATAATTGGTACATTTTATGTAATTTGAAAGACTGTTACTTGTTTTTCAGATTCAACTATTATTTGGTAAATCTAGCTATAAACTATTGTTATTAAGTTTAATTAGTTGAAAAATATTTGAAAATGTTTTGATCGAAAAATAGTCATGAAAATGTTTTTAATGTAATATTTTTCCACTTTCACTTATTTACTTTTCAATTTTAAATCTTTGAGGGGTAAAGCATCACACAAATTCTATGTCCAGTGACCTTCACAGGAATGTTGCTTTGGAATTTGAACTATGAACCAGGCCACTGTTTCCGTGAGAATGAATTACCTTTTCCCAGATTACTCTGGTTGTGTTAGGTTTGCCTCCAGGAGCCAGTGGGTTGTTCTTTGCTTTGTACACATAAGCATATCTCTTGCCCAAACAGAAATCAGTTTAATCTCAAGCATAAACACTTGCAATTTTAAGAAGCACTGTGTGCTCCCTTTAATTCATGTATAGCCAATAGAAATGGCTTTAAACCACAATCTTCCAGACAGATTAGCCTTTTAGAAGTCCTGTTCCCAGCAGGCCTCCCAAATTCCAAGATGGTAGAAACAGCTGTAACATACTACCAATTTGTACCTTTGGTTCTAGTTTAGGTCTTTTACTCTTTCTGGTATAGTTTCACTCTTTTCAAGATGACGGAATTGAATTCTAAGACCCTTTAATTCTTAAATTCGATTAGTACTTTAAAGAATAAGTATAATTAAGCAGTTATAGGAATTTTGTATAGAAAATCCTGTTTTCCTATTGAGGTCCATATTAAATTTTTGAAGTACTTCTTATGCCAAATATTCTCTCAGATAGTAAAGTGCTGTTAATCAGTGTTATCTGGACGTAACTGTGTCAGAGTAATGGTTTTGTGTATATCTTTTCAGTGAAAACCTACTGTGCTAGGCGTTTCTTTTCTTTCTTTTGGTTAATGTTAGTTGCTTCCTTCAGAAGCATATTTACTAAAATTGGAATGCTATGAAAAAGGTTAGCATGGGTTAACTGATTACCTACCTATCTGTGCTAACGAATGGATTCTTTGCCCATCCCTTCCGTGTTTTGTTTGACTTTGGAGAACATCTTGTATATGTTTCTCAGTAACAAACTGCTGTTTTAGGTTTTTCTACTGTTACTCATCTTGTTGCCAAAAAGTGTTGAAGATGTTTGTTTTAAGTAGTTATTTTCTATAATATTTAATGTGTTTTATGTTATTAATAGGATACAAATAGTTGGATTTTTGGCTGCATAAACAGCACTTCTATGTGGTAAGTGTTGAATTTATGGTCCTCCCTTGTTCAGTTTTCTTAGTATAAACAATACTCAGGAATCATAGGGTTAGCTTCATATATTCTTTTACATATTTTGTGGCTGTGTTATAGTATTGATTTTAAAATGAAAAGTAAAGAAAATGAATATACTAGGAATTTTTGTAACTATTGAATGTAGTTAGATGTTAGGAAAAACAATTTTTTTCTTGCCAAACTGTGTAGATACAGTCTATTGATTAGACTTAATTAGATTTCAATTCATTATAAATCTGTATGCTAGGTCTATAGATAGTTTCTTTTCCTCTGATGTTTACTGATAAGTTGCAATACTTCAATGTATTTTTCCTTTAATTATATTTTTATATTTATTTCAAAGCCGGCAAGGGGTAGATTTATCCTGGAAAGCTGAATTACTGCCAACAATTAAGGTAAATTATAGATTTAGAATTGTAAAGTCCAGGTGAAAAAATACTTAATCAAATAAGCATTTTAGTCTACTCTTTTATTAAGATCTTAAACAGACTTTAGATTTGCTAACCTAAATCTTAGAAATACTTTTGTTAGAAATACATTTAATTAGGAATAGCTTGGAATTAATGTTACTTTTTTTACTTACAGAAATAAAAACTAAGTTAATCTGTTAAATGATCGTAGGTTATAGGACTCTACCAAAAAGAGCTTTTATAGATTTTTTAAATTAAACTGAGAGTATGCTTGGATGGTCTGTCTTAAAATAGAACCTGCATAGTGTTCTGTATACAGAATTCATCTTGGGAGGAATGACTTGGGGTAGGGAAGTGGGCATCTTGAAGAGAACTGAAGTAATTTTCCACATCAATTTCAGCATCACTGTGGTCAAGCACTTGTATAACTTTACATTACCTAAGTTATTCAGGGTAATAAATCACAGCGGAGATTTATTTAGTAATTTTAGTATTTTCCTTAAGCAATTATGGTAGGTTAACAGATCTTTATATATAAGCTTAATTTACATACTTTCAAAATTTATTTTTGATAAGGGAAAATAATTATAGGATGTGATGAAAATATCCGTCCTTGTTTTCTTATTGTATTTATTATAACTGATTATCTTGGGCCAGGATCGATAGTTTTCAGTCAAATAAGTCTATGTATTAAATATAAAGTATATTTTCCTAATGCTAGACTCATATGGTTAAAAGTAACATCATGTGGTTGGTCCTAACCTTCCAAGCCAAAAGCAAAACAAAGTGTTAGGATATATGTACTGATCAATTATTCATGAAATAATCTGTCCAGGCAATAATTTCAGAGTTAGGAATGCATTATTAATTAAAACTTGATAAAATGTACTTTGTTCTTATATATTTTTTAAAATAATTATTTATTTGAAAGGCAGAGTTATGTAGAGAGGGAGAGACAGAGAGATCAATCTTCCATCCACTGGTTCATTCCCCAAATGGCCGCAATGGCAAGGATTGGACCAGACCAAAGCCAGGAGTTCTTCTAGGTCTCCCACGTGGGTGCAGGGGCCCAAGGACTTGAGCCATCCTCTGCTGTCTTCCTAGGTGCACTAGCAGGGAGCTGGCTCAGAATGAAACAGCCAGGACTTGAACCAGTGCCCAAAAGGGATGCTATCACTGCAGACAGTGACTTAAATCGCTATACCACAGTGCTGGCCCCATGTTATTATATTTTTAAAATGTGTTTATTAAACCATAAAGTCTTGCATTATTTTTAAAAATTTCTGAAGATTAAACTGGTGTGTTCATCAAGCGCTAGATCCCTATGTTTGTTCTGAATGTAAGAAACAGCTGACTGAACAGCAGAACAAGCTATAGTGAATGCTGAAAGAAAGAAGTTAGGAAACATGAATCATAATATTCTACAATTTTGGATGTTCTCCATTCAGGATTGCAATTATGAAATGTAAATAACCTTTTTCATTACAATAAAAACAAAAATTTTATGTGATGTGTGTTAGTAATTTATAAGCAACATACAAAATTATTTTCCATAAAGTTGAAGGGATTATAAAATGAAAAAGTTTTGTAGGTTTTATTTGTATTTCTATCATCTCAATAAAAGTAACGTCAGATGAGAATCCTATCACTTTCTGGCATCTCTGCTGACTATTAATGAATAGATGCAACACTCTAGCAAAACACATAAAATACAGTACTTTGTCATTGTTAAGAATTTATATTTCAGAGTTATCAGAATGGATAGCTACACAAAATATTCACCTTCTTCCTGATTAATATATCTTTAGTGCTGTCTCCCATTTGTTTGATGGATTTCATCTCCCTGTATTTGTGGTTATTGTGATCCTTTTAAGACCCTTTAATTTACACTAGTACATACAAGTCTGAGGCAGACACTTTGCAAACTTGGGGAAAATCCTATAACAAACACTCCCTCATAAATCTGATCAGCTTTTTAGAGGACCACTCATTGACAGCTTTTAAACCTCATTAGCTCTGTCCAACTTGTCAGTGTTGATCTTTCTGAAAAGTGGAGAAAGTGTCTAGAAATTTTTAATTCAATATACTATAATATTTAACAATTCCCACCCCACATAGCTTCCATAAAAAAAAAAAAAATGGATTAAAGCTGAATTTAGAGGGCTAGTGTGGCGTAGAGGATAAAGTTGCCGCCTGCGACACTGGTGTCCCATATGGGTGCTGGTTCGTGTCCCATGTGTTCTATTTCCAGTCCAGCTCCCTGCCAATGGCCTGGGAAAGCAGCAGAAGATGGCCCACATACTTGGGTCCCTGCCACCTGCATGGGAGAACCAGATGATGCTCCTGGCTCCTGGGTTCATCCTGGTCCAGGCGTGGCCAGTGCAGCCAGTTAGGGAGTAAACCAGTAGATGGAAGATCTCTCACTCTCAATCTCTGTGTGTGTATATGTGTCTGTGAGTGTGTTTCCCTCTCTGTAATTCTGCCTTTCAAATAAAATAAATAAATAAATCTTAAAGAAACTGAATTTAGTGGCTTCACTTTTATTTAATTAGACCAGTCTTTCTACTTAACTCATTTCTCAAAATATGGACTATAGTACCTGGTCTTAATATTGAGAACCTCATTTGGTGAGGTGCATTGTTTACCATATTCTATCTTTGTCATTTACTAAATGAAGACCAGGGGGTGATATTCATATATACTGTTGCCCAGCAACTCTTTGCTACTTGACTAGGTCAGAATTATTTGAGATTAAATTATAGTTATTTCATTCATCAACTACTGAATGCTATTTGTCTTGTATTACCAAAATAAAGTATAGAAATAATATTGTAATGCTATTTGCAACAGATTGCCAAATTATAATAAGAAACAAAACCAAATGTGGAAATAATTATTAAACATCATTAAATTATTAAATGCTTAAATTTTAGTATAGTATAATTTCTAAATATTTAACGTAAGTACTAGGAATTTGAATTTCAGTGGGATTATTGACTTGGAAATGTAAACATGGGCATTTATGATACACTGGTCTTAAATTTGACATTTTTTAAAAATAGCAAATTTAGAAAGAAATGTACCTTATTTATTTATCCTTTTTTAAGCAAGCATTAATCTCTGTTGTAAGAAATAAAAGCAGTTTTTTATGTCCTTTTTTTTCTTTTTTTTTAGTTTCTGACCTTAAGGCTTCAAGACTATCCATCTTTGTCTCATCTTGTTGTTTATGTACCATCTATTCATGGAAGTAAGGTAACAAGTGAATTAAGGTTATTATCAGAATGTTTTGGAGATATTCTTTCTAACTTTTAAAGCTTTTTTTTTTTCCCTATGAGTTCTACATAGGGCTTACTTAAAACAATGGCCAATTTAGTGATCCACCTAAAATTCTTAAATCATTAGGATCATCTGCTTCAACTTGAACTAAGCAGAATAAACCCAAGTTCCTTTGTTCCAACTAAGAGCTAGTGTTCTAGTTTATAAGTCTTTAAAAACTGTTAATTACTAGGTACTCTATTATGTACAAGACTATGTACCAGGAAGTATAGGAGGTGCACAAATCGGGAAGACATGAATTCCATTTTTAGGATGCTCCATACTGTTGAATAAAAAGACCATACACACTCATACAAAACAAACCAGAATATAGCAAGTAGATGAAAGACATCAAAGGAAGAGATATTTCTGATTGATTGAATCAAGAATGCCTTATATTGGGGTGATATTTAAAGTGTGCTTAAAGGATAATTTTACAGGTAAATGGACATTGTAGACCTGTGCTGTCAATATGAGAATCACTAGCACTTGTAGCTATTAAATTTAAACCAATTAAAATTAAGTAAAATTTAAAATTCAGTTTCTTATATGTATCAGCCACATTCCAAAGGCTCAGTAGTAACATAATTACAGAAAATGTTAATGGGCAGCACTTTAAGCAAAAAGAACAGTGAGAGCAAAGCATAGAAGTGTGAAAGCCTAGTGTATATTTGGAAAATAGTGAATAATAATTTTGAAAGAGTGGCCACCATGAGTAGAACAGCAATGAAGAAAAGTCAGGAAGAGTAGGTCACTGTCATATTGTGGAGGCCTTGACTGGAGGATTCAGGACTTTATAGAATTCAAGTTTGTGGCAAGACATAAAATTTTTCCCCATAGTAGTCGGATCAGAAAGAATTTATTTTAGAACATCAGTGTATTCATGATGTAGGAAAGGTGAAAAAGAAAGAGACAAAGCACCATGTAAGGGATTATGAGGGCCTGTGCTAGGGAATTGAGAGTAGAAAGAAAAGCATGATTTTGAGGAAATTGATTGGGGAAAAGGCCCATGGAGGTCAAAGGGCCTCTCTGTTCCTTACCCTTCAAGATCCAAACTGTATCTCTTTTCTTTTCCCAGGCCCTTCCCATGATAATTTTTTTTAAACTTACTCTCATGATGTTTTGAATATAGTTTCTTTGAGGAACTTATTTCTTTGTGTTACAGTTTCTTTGTCTCTATTGCATTTTTCTATTATGAACTCTGTAAGAGTAATAGCCACATAGGTTTTACTCTACTTTGCATCCTCAGCCTTTAGTGACTACCACATAAATGCTCAAAAATGTTTCTCTTTGAGGAAGTCGGTAAGATTTGTGTCTAAAATAGCTAGGAAAATTTTAAAGAAATAGGGAAAGGAAAATGGGATGTAGTTGGGAGTCTTCTCAAAGACTGAATCTCACAAGTACCTTATAATGGACTCATTGTTTTGTTTTGCTTAGCTCAAGTGAGAGGTAATTCAGCATCTTCAATACTAAAAGCTCTCTTTAAGGGTTTTTCTGTCAGGTAAGTTGGTTTTGAATGAATCTAACATCTTTCTCAAACTTGAAAAGACCCTCTCTGGTTATTCTAAGAAATTAATGAAACTTTCTGCAAGTAGACAGTCTTAGTAGTCTAATAAATGTGTAATAGGTCTTAATGCTCTTTGAAAAGTAATGCTGCTGACTCTTTTTCTGGAACCCCATTCCACTAGAATAATAAAGATCTTTTATGATTTTTGCATGTCTATTTTACAGCCCATCATCAGAAGGCTACATGTATTCAAATAGGCAATATTAAACAAGTTTGAGTTAACTGATATCTTAATAGGTTTTTGGAAATGGAAATGTAATTATATTCTTTTGATGACAGAAATCAAAATAATTAAACCCATCAGAAATCTACTTATGTTGGATATTTTAGACACACTTTAAATTCTTTATTGGGTAAAGATTTATTCCATTATACAAAACTAAGTGCATAGCCAAATTTTTAATGTAGTAATAAAAATCCTACTAATTAAATTATCTGTGCAGGGGGCTGGTGTTGTGGCACAGTGAGTTAAGCCACCACCTGTCATCTGGCATCCCACTTATGGTCCAGCTCCCTGCTAATGTGCCTGGGAAAGCAGCAGATTTCTATCCCAAGTACATGGGCCGCTGCCACCTACAGGGAGACCCTGAAGGGGTTCTGGCCTCCTGTCCTCAGCCTGGACAAGCCCTGGCCATTATGGCCATTTCAGGGGTGAACCAGTAGATGGAACATAACTCTCTTTCTGTCTCTCCTTCTCTGTTAATTCGGTCTTTTAAATAAATAAATAAATAAATCTTTAATAAAATAAAAACCTGTGCAGAATGATTTAAGTTGACTTCAAAAGCTGTTTCCCTGTCTCTGGTAATGGCTCAGCTTACTCAATAAATGAGTCTCTAATCTTCTAACAGCTATTTATTATAATGAAAATATCTGACTCTGTTCTTTGCCTTGTGAGTAAAGGAGAAAAATAAACGAAAAACTCCACAAACTTCTTCCTTTTATCCCCCAGCGTGTGGACTGTAGTCTAATAACAAGTTGCCACATCAGTTTCTTACTTTAAAAAACAATAAAGAAAAATCTATCCATGAGGCAAACAAAATAACACCACTTCAGAGATCCCAAGTTTAGTTGTCTGAAAAGCCTTGGACAGACTCCACAGGCCTTGTACTTTCTGGAGACATCAGGTTACTTACTAATTAAAGTGGGGCATCAAATTTTTTCTTGGCTCCTTATAGATCAAAATAAATTGATTGCATGGTGGAGATTATTTTAGTAAAGTTCTATCTTTATCCAAACAATTCCTCTGCATAATACTGAAAACAAAGGCTCTTACGCTGTTTTTTATTTTGAGGATTTATTTATGTATCTGAAAGGCAGAGTGAGAGGGAGGAGACTCAGATCTTCTGTCTACTGACTCACTCCCCAAATGGCTGCAATAACCAGGTCTGGACCAGCCTAAAGCCAGGATCCAAGAACTCCATCCAGGTCTCCCACATGGGAGGCTGAGGCCCAAGTACTTGGGTCTTCACCTGCTTGCTGCTTTCCCAGGCTCATTAGCAGGAAGTTTGATTGGAAGTAGAGCAGCCAGGACTTGAACCAGCACTCCAACATGGAATGATGGTATAGCAAGCAGCTTAACCACTACAATACAATGCCAGCCCCTCTTACACAGCTTTAGCAATGTTATTGATAAAAAGATGTTGCCACTACGAATAATTGTAATGGTGCATTTGTCACATTATACAGTTAGTTTTTTGAAAAGCATTTCTTTATCTTGCTTCATATATAGTAAGCCTTTTTTTTTCTATTTTTATAATAAGTATTTAACCAGAAATAATCTTACATGAAAAACATTAGCCATCTGTAGATGAATGTTAGTAGGTATCCAAAAGCCTTTATAGTCTCCTTAAGCTATAAATACTTAATAAATGTAGACTTTTTCAAAGATCTTTAACAAAATCACATTTCTCTTTTTGACTGAAAGTGCTCAAAGATATGTTATCTAAATCCTTAACTAATTTTGAATTAGCCCTGATGGTTAATGCTTTGATCCATCTTTTTTTTTTTGGTAAAGATTTTATTTATTCAAGAGGTAGAGTTACAGAGAGGGAGAGAAAGAGAAAAGTCTTCCATCCCCTGGTTCACTCCCTAAATGGCCACTGAGCCAATCTGAAGCCAGGAACTTCTTCCAGGTCTCCAACACAGGTGCAGGGGTGGCCCAAGCACTTGGGCCATCCTTCACTGCTTTCCCTGGCTATAGGCAGAGAGCTGGGTTGGAAGAGGAGCAGCCAGGATGTGAACCAGCGCCTATATGGGATGCTGGTGCTGTAGGCAGAGACTTAGCCTTCATGCCACAGCGCCATCCCCTTGATCCATCTTTTAATATCTCTCTTCTTCAAACACCTAAACCTAACTAGAAGACAACTTATATATTATGAGTATGTTGTTACAGAAATGACCCTCTATTAATTTAAGTTAATAAGTTAAGCTCATTTAGCAAGTTTCTCAGCAAAGCGTCTGTCCTTGAGGAACCTGTTGCCGCCTAAGTGTAAACAGTTAACAGTATCATAGTTACTTTCTCCAAAGAAACCTTTCTCCAAAGGTTTATAGACTTTTTTTCTGAAACATGGAGTGAAGATATTTTACTATAAATTTAATTCTATTTGTTTCCAATAAATCATTGTTTTCTATCTCAGTTTGTTGTAGATTGTGAATTCTTTAAAAAAGAGACAAGATCCATACAGCTTCCTGTAACTCATCTCTTTTCCTTTGGTAAGTACTTTATTTTTGGAAATCTTAAGAATCGCTTTTATTTTTAACTGTGGATTTATTTTTCCAGTTAATTGCAGGAAAGTAGAGCCTTGGAATGTTAAATACTATATATTTCAAGTAACCATCTGATGTTTAATGTCCTGATTCACATTTGATACTAGACTAGTAATGATCTTCTCTGAAAAGTGAACCTTAAAATGAGTGTGTGTAATCACACAGGAGTGTATTTGCAGATAATTGTGTGTGTATGTGTGTTATGTGAAATTTATACTAAATACTGGCCCTTTTAATAAAATTTTTATTATGATATAAATGCTACCTGCATTATGAAAATTATAAGATTTCGCTAAATATTTTTTTATGTTTTATTCTTTTAGTTTGAAATCATTTTAGAACTACAGAAAAATTATAAAGGAGTACAAAGTTTCTTTTTCTATTCTTCTCCCAACTTTCCCTAATGTTCTTCAAAATAAACATAATATATTTTTTTAAAACTTAAGAAATTATCATTGGTGCAGTATTATTACCTAAACTACAGGCTTTCTTTGGTTTTCATATTTCTCCACTGATGTCCTTCCTCCCCGAGGGTCCTACGTTGCATTTATTGATTATATCTCCTTCATCTCCTCTAATATGTGATAGTTCCTCAGCCTTGCCTTATCTTTCATACCTTTGAAACTTTTGAGGAGTACTGGTTATTTATCTTGTAGAATATTCTTCAGTTTGGTTCTCTCTAATGCTTTCTTGTGATTAGATTGAGGCTGTGTGTTTTTGCCAAGAATACCACAGGAATGATATGCATTTCCCTGTGTAATTTCAGAAGACACATGATGTTAACATATGTAATTGCTGGTGGTATGAATCTTGATCTCTTGGTTAAGGTGGTGACTGCTTGGTTTCTCCACTATAAAGTTACTGCATTTCCTTTTGTCTTAATAAATATCTTTGAGAAGGTATTTTGATCATGTAAATATCTTGTTTTCCTCCAAAATCATCCACTAATTTCAGCATCCCATTGGTTTGTCTAGTCCAGCAAGTAGAGTACTGGTATTATACATTTTTTAAAAAATGTTATTTATTTGAGAGGCAGAGAAAGATCTCCTATCTACTGATTCTCATTCCAAGTACCTGTATTAGCTGGTGCAGGGCCACCTGAAACCATGAGCCTGGAACACAAACCAGGTCTCCCGCATGGGTGGCAGGAGTCTAATTGCTTTAGATGTTACTGTTGTCTCTCGGGGTCTGCATGAGCAGCAAGCTGGAATCAGGAGCTGGAGCTGGGAATCGAGCCAGGTAATGCAGTGTGGGATGTCGGTGACTTAGATCACTGGGCTAAATGCCTGCGCCCTGTAATCTACTTTTAATATAAAAGAAAGTCTGTTGACATCTTTTTAATGTTATTTAAGCAATCAATACATTTTGAAAGAGTCTTTGATAGTCTAAATAATATAACATTTTTAATTCAACAGGATTATCTTCAAGGAAAGTAGTTTTAAATACAAGCGGCCTGTACTACAATATAGAGCTTCTGAACTTCGGACAGGTTATTATCCTCACTATAACAAAACAGATTTTAATTTACTTTGTGTTTAAACAAACAACTAAATTCTGTTTCTTTTCTTTTTGTGATCAAATTCTGTTTAGATTTATCAAGCATTTAAGATCAACGTGGTAAGCAAGTGCTCAGGAGTGAGAGGTAAATGTATTTTCTGAAAAATAAATAGTATTGTCATTTGAAGAATTAATAGGTCTTCACTTGAGTTTTCTATATTACTTTTTTTTGGACGGACAGAGTTAGACAGTGAGAGAGAGAGAGAGAGAGAGAGAGAGAGAGAGAGGCAGCGAGCAAGGTTTTCCTTTTCTGTTGGTTCACCCCCCAAATGGCCGCTACGGCCGCAACCGGCGCGCTGCGCCGATCCAAGGGAGCCAGGTACTTCCTCCTGGTCTCCCATGGGGTGCAGGGCCCAAGCACTTGGGCCATCCTCCACTGCACTTCCAGGCCACAGCAGAGAGCTGGACTGGAAGAGGAGCAACCGGGACAGAATCCGGTGCCCCAGCCGGGACTAGAACCCGGGGTGCTGGCGCCGCAGGCGGAGGATTAGCCAAGTGAGCCATGGCGCCGGCCTCTATATTACTTTTAAAAGTACTTTTTTTATGAAATAAAATAAAATGGTAATAATAGGAAAGGGATTTAGCAGAAACTCTTTAAGAGTAAAATATCTTTATCTGTTTCAGGTAAAATATCCACATTTCAAAAATATTGTATATCTGTATGTCTTGTTGTAATAGTAATTCAGATTCAACTGTTTAGTGTCTTTCCAGTTAGATTAGATACTAAGTATCTAATTAAATCATTGTTTTAGGAATTCTCAACTTTTTTTTATATTGTGATATAAGATAAATACTTAGTTACTGAGTATTTTTTTAAATGGGTGATTGTGTGATTAGTTAGGTGTTGTAGTAGTTAATGTTACAATTAGGGTGATACATGGTTAATAATGCCTGGTTCTTTTTTGTTTTAACAGAAGAAATAACTAGTATCTATAAACTTCATATTCCCTGGTCTTATGAAGATTCACTAACTATTGCACAGTAAGCATATGAAAGAATTTACTTTCAATTTTGATATTTTTGAATAATAGATATTCTGCTTAGTTTAGTTATTTAAATCCTATGAATTATTAAAATGCCTCTTGATAAAAATGTATGTATCCTTTAGCATGCACAGAATTTAATATAGTATACAATATTCTTATTAAATAATATAGTACTTAAGCCTTACATACTTGAAATATGCACATCTTTCCACACTCTCCCTCAACCCTTGTGTGCTTGAGGGAGCACTGAAACATTTGAGATATGATTGAAACAATGGCCATTCATAATAGTGTATCTGATATCTAGCTTCATCTACATTATTTCATTTTATTGTGCTGAGGATTAACTTGACCATGGCATTTTGTATTTGGCAATTGATATTTAAGTTATCTCTTCAGGGTTCCATCTTCCACAGAAATTTCTCTGAAACTTCATATTGCTCAACCAGAAAATGACAGCCATGTGGCATTATTAAAAATGTATACATCATCAGACTGTCAGTATGAGGTAGGTTGACTGCATGATCTTTTTTTCTGAATCCTCCAGTCAAGGACAGGCAGAGTGGACAGTGAGAGAGAGAGAGAGAGAAAGGTCTTCCTTTGCCATTGGTTTACCCTCCAATGGCCACCGTGGCTGGTGCGCTGCAGCCAGTGCAATGTGCTGATCCGATAGCAGGAGCCAGGTACTTCTCCTGGTCTCCCATGGGGTGCAGGGCCCAAGCACTTGGGCCATCCTCCACTGCACTCCCTGGCCACAGCAGAGAGCTGGCCTGGAAGAGGGGCAACCGGGACAGAATCCGGCACCCCAACCGGGACTAGAACCCGATGTGCCGGCGCCGCAAGGCAGAGGATTAGCCTAGTGAGCCACGGCGCCGGCCGTTGACTGTATAATCTTTAAGTAAGATTTAGTTTCAGCATAAGCTTGAAATATTTTTATATTAGTTGCAGATATGGCACTATGGAAGTTAGTAAATGTAAGTAATAGACATTTAAAACATTTTAACAATTCTCCATTAGTGCATATTAGCACCATCTCACTGTACCCTTAGTTGGACAATTTGAAAGTGTATCCATCTTAAACACTAGAAAATTAAAAAAAAAATTGAGGCTTCAGATTAACCTTGAAAGTTTGGAGGCCCAAAATCCAGAATCTGTCATGAGTCAAAGAACCTCATGAAGTCAAATGACTTGGCTTTACACAGTAATTGACATGATGCATATTGGTTTACATTGCTCCTGGGTTAGCTTAAGGTGCTGGGCCACCCTGAAATCATGAGCCTGGAACACAAACCAGGTCTTCCTTCTTTTTCACTGATTATTTAAACTCTATTTGTCATTAATATGTGCAGTTGTACCTACTGTGTTTATTTTATAATGCAAGAGGACCTCTTCATGCTAAGAGAAGGAACCAGAATTGAGAGTAACATTTTGTTTATTTACAGATCTCATGAATAGTCCCTCCCTATTTCAGAAATTATCAGGTTCCGCAACTTCAAATTTAAATGCTTAAAGTAGTATTTCAATGGTAGCAACAGAGCAGTCTTCTGTTTTTGCTTAAATATTTGAATTCTTTATTAGAATTAATTTTCTTAGGGTATTCTAGGATTGATGTTGTCAAATTAATAGAATCTGTTCATACAACAAAATTTTAGTTGTATCTGAATTAGATGAATTTAGATTGCATTATGTTTCTAACAATGGGCTAACATGGTTTTTAACTTGTATCTTATTTCTAGCATTAAAACAGTACTAAAAATTTTGTTAATAATTTACTCCATATTCTGCAGTGATCTCAAAATGTCCATGTTTTTACAAATGCATTTTTTCAATAAGCCCATATTTTGAGAAAATGCAGTCATTTTATAACTTCCCTAAGAAAAATCTGTTTCCTTTTCCAAGACTTCTTTTTATCAAAAAAGCTTTGTTTGTGGTATATATAATTAGTATGAATTTCTTTTTGAAGTATTATATATATTTACTTGAATTCCTTTAGCTGGCATGATCTGTTAATAACGTCTTCAGATTAATTAAATATTTTAGTTAGTAATGGGTTACCACAGATACCAAAATATTTATCCAGTTGTTGATGAATTAGAATATGGGAATGCATGCTAAGTGATAAAACTATTAAGATTTTGAATATCTTTAGGTTTATCATTATAAAAATTAATTATGCTCAAAAATGTGTAGAAGTGCTCAGTTTAATGAAATGTGAACTAGAGGAGTTAAAAGAAAATAACCTTTTTTAATCATTGTTTTAAACTAGGTGACAGTTAAGACTTCCTTTTCACAAATACTTGGACAGGTAAGAGAGACTTCTGGTTATTGGTTGATTATTGCCTTGTGAATAAATACTGTGAGGAAGGAATTATAAACTTTCTCTGTAATCTGATTTAACAGCATATACGATCTCTTTGGTTGCTGTAGCTGCTGTTTTGTTTTTTGTTTTCTTTCTACCTCTAGTTTAATAAGACATAGGAACCATTCTTGGCCCACAGGCCAAAGTTGGCCAAACTTTGCCTTAAGGTAATGCTTTCATGTTTGATACATCTAGAAATGTCAGCTGATACCTGATTACCCACAAGAGTTAATCTTTTTGCCTAAATGAATGTCATATTAAGACTTCATGTTGCTCATACTACAGTATGATCATAGTGCAATAAAATCTATAGGCTCTGTCATAAGAAATGAACATTTTCAAAGATTTATTATGTTGTACATGCTCAGCTTGTGAAAGGTAAGAATAATCTTATCTTTTAAAGATAAATGTTGAACAAAATGGAGGGATCTGGAAAACATTATGCTGAGTGAAATAAGCCAGTCCCAAAGGGACAAATATCCCTGATCGGTGACAACTAACCTAGCACCAAAAAGCAAACCTGTTAAAGTGAAATGAACACTATGAAAAACAGTGACTTGATCAGCCCTTGCCCTGACTGTTGATGAACAACTTAATACGTTATCCCTCTTAGTATTTTTGTCTGTTCTACTTAATACTGTTGGTTGAATTCTGTAATTAATACACAGTTATTCTTAAGTGTTGAAACTAAACTGAAAAGTGAGCCCTGTTAAATGTAAGAGTGGGAATAAGAGAGGGAAGGGATGTACAATTTGGGACATGCTCAAGCTGACTTGCCCCAAACGGTAGAGTTAGAAACATACCAGGGGATTCCAATTCAATCCCATCAAGGTGGCATGTACCAATGCCATCTCACTAATCTAAGTGATCAATTTCAGTTCACAATTGATCATAATGATAGGACTAAGAATCAAAGGGATCACATAAACAAGACTATTGTCTGAAAATACTAACCGATAGAACAAAAAAGGGAGAGAATGATCCAACATGGGAAGCGGGAAACACAGCAGACTCATAGAATGACGGATGTCCTAAACAGTACCCTGGCCTCAGAAGCAGCCCTTAAGGCATTCAGATCCAGCTGAAAAGCCCATGAGAGTATTTCAGGCATGGAAAGCCAAGACACTCTGGAAAAAAAAAAAAACCTAAATGAAAGATCTCTGCGAGTGAGATCCCAGTGGAAAGAACGGGCCATCAAAGAAGGAGGTACCTTTCTCTGAAGGGAGGAGAGAACTTCCACTTTGACTATGACCTTGTCTAAATATGATCAGAGTCGGTGAACTCAAAAGGCTTCCATAGCCTTGGCAACTCATGACTGGAGCCTTTGGAGATTGCTGACGCCTTAAACAAGAGTGTCAAATTGTTAATTCAACAACAGGAGTCACTGTGCACCTACTCCTCATGTAGGATCTCTGTCCTTAATGTGCTGTACATTGTGATTTAATGCTATAACTAGTACTCAAACAGTATTGTTCACTTTGTGTTTCTATTTGGGTGCAAACTGTTGAAATCTTTACTTTATATATACTAAACTGATCTCTGTATATAAGAGAAATGAAAATGAATCTTGATGTGAATGGCCTGGGAGAGGGAGTGGGAAAGGGAAGGGTTGTGGGTGGGAGGGAAGTTATGGGGGGGGAAAGCCATTGTAATCCGTAAGCTGTACTTTGGAAATTTATATTCAATAAATAAAAGTTAAAAAACATACTAAGGTGTAAATATCTTTAAAATTAAAACAAGTGTCTTTTGTAAAAAAAAAAAAAGATAAATGTTGAAAATAACTTGCAAATAATACTACAGAAATTATGTATTAATTAGAACTACAGATATTATTCAACATAAATAAGATAATACTGGTTAGTCAGAGTTTAAAATTTAGTAAAATTTCTTATAGTTTTTTTTTTTTTAAAGATTTTATTTATTAGGCCGGCGCCGTGGCTCACTAGGCTAATCCTCTGCCTTGCGGCGCCGGCACATCGGGTTCTAGTCCCGGTCGGGGTGCCGGATTCTGTCCTGGTTGCCCCTCTTCCAGGCCAGCTCTCTGCTGTGGCCAGGGAGTGCAGTGGAGGATGGCCGAAGTGCTTGGGCCCTGCACCCCATGGGGTACCAGGATAAGTACCTGGTTCCTGCCATTGGATCAGCACGGTGCGCCGGCCACAGCGTGCTGGCCGCAGCGGCCATTGGAGGGTGAACCAATGGCAAAAGGAAGACCTTTCTCTCTGTCTCTCTCTCTCACTGTCCACTCTGCCTGTCAAAAAAATTTTTTTTATTTATTTATTTGACAGGCAGAGTTACAGACAGTGTGAGAGAGAGAGACAGAAAGGTCTTCCTTCCATTGGTTCATTCTCCAAGTGGCTGCAACTGCTGGAGCTGCACCAGTCCAAAGCCAGGTGCCAGGTGTTTCCTCCTGGTCTCCCATGCAGGTGCAGGAGCCCAAGCACTTGGGCCATCCTCCACTGCTTTCCCAGGTCACAGTAGAGAGCTGGACTGGAAGAAGAGCAACAGCGACTTGAACCGGCGCCCATATGGGATGCCAGCGCCGCAGGTGGAGGATTAAACTAGTGCACCACGGTGCCAGCCACCATCTTAGAGCTTTTATCAATTTTATTTCTTGGACTGTTACATTTTGTCATTCAGGCATACCATGATTTTATTTCTTTACTTTAAATCATACTGGGGCTGGTGCCCTTTGCAACAGTTGCATCATATATCAGCACCAGTTCCAGCTGGTGAAGCAGCAGTCTCACCGCTTCACTTTCTATCCAACTCTGTGCTAATGCACCTGGGAAGGCAGCAGGTGGCCCAAGAGCATAGGCACCTGATAGCCATGTGGGAAAGCAGGGTGGAGTGCCTGGCTCAACCCCTAGCCTTTGAGGCCATTTGGGAAATGAACCAGCAGATGCAAGATCTCCTTCTGTCCCTCCCTCTAGCTCTCTGCCTTTTCAACTACATAAATCTTTCTTTTTTTAAAAAAAAAAAAGTCATTATAATGTAATTACAGTAAAGCTCACTACTCAAAATTAAATCAGGGCCGGCTCCGCGGCTCACTAGGCTAATCCTCCGCCTTGCGGCACCGGCACACCAGGTTCTAGTCCTGGTCGGGGTGCCAGATTCTGTCCCAGTCGCTCCTCTTCCTGTCCAGCTCTCTGCTGTGGCCTGGGAGTGCAATGGAGGATGGCCCAAGTCCTTGGGCTCTGCACCTGCATGGGAGACCAGGAGAAGCACCTGGCTCCAGGCTTCGGATCAGTGCGGTGCACTGGCCGCGGCGGCCACTGGGGGGTGAACCAATGGAAAAAGGAAGACCTTCCTCTCTCTCTCTCTCTCTCTCTCTCTCTCTCACTGTCCACTCTGCCTGTCAAAAAAATTAAATCAGAAGCATTTTTATATGCATTACATCATTTGATCCTTATAATAACCTAATGAGGATTAGATGGTGATTATTAAATTTGTCAACATTATAAAATTCTAAGTTAACATTAAAATTTTTTGTGCTACATTATGAAGGAAAGGTGAAATGTTAGTACAAGGTGGAAAACAGCATTATGGATAGTAATACAAAATATTCTGAAGTGTTAAAGGACTTGTACTATAAGAGAAGAATTCATGCTGGTAACTTGGTGCTGTATACTCAGGCACCCGAAGAAGACAGACTCAATCTTGTTCATAAGTGGAACTCTTTCTAAAGAATATACTGGTGTTACATGACCAAGATGTGTACTTTGAAGTGTCAAATAAAGCATTTGTAGTGATTGAGTTGTTAATCTAAAATCATTGAAAAATAAATGTTCTTCCTTCATGCTGCCTCCTAGACATATTAGTTGGGAGCGGGACAAAAAGAGAAGTAGTTAGGACTTGCACTTGGTATGGTATTCAGCTGTCTCAAGCAATAGTTTAACCCATTGTGCCACAAAACCTACTCCAGTCTATTACATTTCTTTTTGAAAGATTTATATATTTATTTGTTTGTTTGGAAGGCAAAGTTGTAGAGAGAGAAAGAGGAGAGAGACAGAATATCTTCCATCAGTTGGTTCAGTCCCCAAATATCCAGAACAGCCAGGGCTGGGCCAGGCCCAGAATTCCATCTGGGTTTTCCACGTGGGTGACAGGGTCCAAGCACTTGGACCATCTTCCAATGTTTTCCCAGGAGTATTAGCAGGGTGCTGAATTGGAAGTGGAGCAGCCAGGAATTGAACTGACACTCAGATGGCATGCTGGTGTTGCAGACAGTGGCTTACCCTGCTGTACCACAATGCTGGCCCCTCAGTCTGCTGCATTTTTAATTGTGCAACTTACTAGCACTTCCCATGCCTGAATTTCCGTGGTGGTAAAGCAGGGATAAAAACTACCTTAAAGGATTATGGGAAGAGAGCATGAGATAATGCATATACAGTGTTTCGTATTGTACCTGGAACATAATGTGCTCAGGAAATATGCCTTGGAAAGCAAATTTGTAGCATATGTTTCACAGTTATGCTTTTGATGAAAAATGGAGATATGTTTCTAATATGGTATATATGAATATTTTCAATAATTATTTTATATAGAATTTTTTACACAATTGGAAATATCTTTGTGACTGTGTCAAGAAAGTCATAAAATAAAATAAACTATTTCATAGGAAAGTACATTTACTTCATCAATATGAATATTCAGAAGTTTCCCATTGATTTGCCTCTTTTCTAGGTAGTTAGATTTCATGGTGGAGCTCTGCCTGCTTATGTCATCTCTAGTATCCTTCTTGCATATGGAGGGCAGTTATATTCTCTATTCTCAACAGGTAAGAATATTTATAATTTCATGCTTTTTATGAATATTAAAAGCAGAAAACTATTAGTTTTGTATGTATATTTAATTGTATTTAATTAGAAGTTATAATAAGGGAATTCTTGGCTATAACTACTACTGTGATTTTGTGCATGTGATTTTATGACCAGTCTTCTCTGCATCTTACTTACTTTCCAAAACCCTATCGACCATCAATCTTAAACTAGTTAAAAGCAGAAAAAAAGTACTGAGATTTCTTTTTTCTCTGAAAGTCCAGAGACTTTGAGTTTGTGGTGGTAAGATGTAAGAATTATTAATATTTGCTTAACTTGTCACTTTTCTGTCAGTATCTTTTTTAATGCAAAAAGTAGCTATTTTAAATCTAAACAAATTAACTTTTTAAAAAGTACCTAGGAATTGAACAATGAATTTTTCGTATTACAATTTTTCCAGTATTTATGTCTTAGAACAAATATTAACCAGAAAACATACCAAAAAAATAACAGTAATTCCCTAATAGTATCAAATGATTTAAATAACTTAAGCAGTTTCCAAATAAGATCCATATATTGTAGTTGATCATTAAGTTTAAACATTAAGCGCCTTAAACTGTAGGCTCCAACCTCCATCTTTCCTTACCTATAATTTATTAAGCAAAATGGGCTTTTTGTACTTTTGAGTTTCCTTGAGTTTTTTTTCTAAGTGTTCTTTTTGTTTTTGTTTTTAATTTTTTTAAAAGATTTGTTTATTTCTTTTAAAGTCAGAGTTACACAGAGAGACAAGGAGAGGCAGAGGCAGAGAGAGAGAGGTCTTCCATTCGCTGGTTCACTCCCCAGGTGGCCACAACAGCTGGAGCTGCACCAATCCAAAGCCAGGAGCCTGGAGCTTCTTCTGGGTCTCCCACGTGGGTACAGGGGCCCAAGGACTTGGGCCATCTGCTGCTGCTTTCCCAGGCTATAGCCGAGAGCTGGATGGGAAGTAGAGCAGCCAAGACCTGAACCAGTGCCCATATGGGATGCTGGCGCTGCAGGTGGTGGCTTTAACTGCTACGCCACAGCGCCAGCCCCCAGTTTACTAGAGTGTAGATTTTGCTACCCATAATGGAGTTAATATGTTCTTCTGTCTTTTGTATGTTGCATATATTGGTAATTAGAGCTTTGTACGTGATGATATTCAGGTTCTTTCCCACCCACTCTAACCCATCTTTTGCTCCTGCAGGAATATTTCATACTGTGTATACTTGTCCTAGGAAGCTGCCACTCCCTCATTTCCTTCATATCATCCTGGTGTGTGTCTTCTACCTGCCTCCAAGCTCTTTTCTTCCCTGCACTCCCCTATTCTGACCCTCTGTTCCTTTTGTTCCTTCTTCCCTTTGCCTTCTGCTCCCTTCCTACCTCCCTACTTCCTTCCTAACCCCCTTCTCTCTCCTGCTTTCAGTGGACCAGTGCTTCATTCCTGTTTTTTCATTCTACATGTTGCTTATGACAGATAATTTCTTGAAAATTCGTGGCCCATGTCTTCCTAAGTTTGCTAGGCTCTGGAATCCTGTGTTTTAAGACATACTTAAGAAAATGCCATACTTGTTTTCTGTATTTTATACCATGGCATTTGAAGTTGTGTATTCTGAGGACTTCTTAAAATGTAGTGCCTCATCAAAGGCACATTGCTCTTCATTCTATTCCTGCTGCGTGACGTGGTGTCAAGCACACCGTAGGTACTCAATACAATATTTGGGTTGTATCAACTGTGTCAGTTAGGTCCTGGCATGCTGAATGGAATAATTGAGATTTTTTTGATGAAGGGACTATTTCAAAGGTATGTGTAGGGTTAAGGGAAACCAACAAGAGATGATAAAGTATTGGACTGGCGACAGAACCATACTTCCAGGTACCAGGGCAAGATAGAGATAAAACCTAGATAGCTGTAGGAATGGGGAACATTACTGAGCCGCAGACTTGGATACGGGAACATTGCATCCACTGCCAGCCTGAGACTCAGCTGGGGAAAAACGGAGAAATATATACACTGACCTTATTTCTTCCTGCCTTCCTTTCTTCCAGTGCCTCCCTGTACTTAACCTTACTAGAAGCTAGTTCCAAGAACTCAGCCTTCCAGAGCCAGAGTTAGGTGAAGGTAGATGCAGGATGTGTGGTACAATGGACAAGGTCCTCCCTAGCGCATAGCGATTAGGACAATTTGCCTGTACCCAAAACTTTTTTTGTTATATTTGGACAGTAATCAGGGGAGGCTGGAGATAGGAAAAAAGAGTGTATTCAGAATAAGTATATATGCAGTCCATAAGAGTGGGCATTTGCTACAGTGGTTAAGATACAGATTGGTATGTTTGCATCCTGTGTCAGAGTACCTGAGTTTGAGTCTTGGGTCTGGCTCCCTATTGCAGCTTCCTGATAATGCACACCACTAGCAGTAGTGGGTAAAAGCTCAGGTGGTTGGTTCCTGCCACCCATGTGGGAGACCCAAATTGAGTTCATGGGCATTGCCTAACACCTGTTGTTGTGGGCATTTGGAGAGTAAACCTGTTAAGTGAGAGATCTCTGTCTACTTTTCCAAAAAAAAGAAGAAGTAGAAAAAGAAAGATAAGCAGTCCATAAACATCCACCATTTCCATCTGGCTGAGTACTTCAGCTACCTGGTACCTTTCAATGACTTACACAACTTGAAGTCTGTCTTCAGTGTTTGTTCATTTTAACCCGAGTTAACCTATATTCCAGGAAGAGGGATTCAATATGTAGTGTAATTTCTCCCAGACTCAACTTTTTTAATTAAAAAATTATTCTGGCAATATAAATGTCCGTCATGTTTTGAAAGTCTTAAAGAGACACATCATTCGCAGTTTAAACTGACTTGATAACTGATTTTTAAATACATGGAAGTTATATCTAGATAGTCCACTGAGACTCCAGGAATAATTGATGTTATTCTAGAAGATATAAGTATAGGATTATATCTCAAAAGTTAAAGTGGTAGTTGTATACCAAGGGTGCATATCAAAAATCACCTATTAAACATACCCCATAAAATATATTTTATTATTATTATAATAAAAATGATCTCTGCCTCTCTTCTCTCTGTGTAACTCTGACCTTCAAATAAATAAATAAATCTAAAAAAAAGAAAAAATAAATGTGATATGACTGATTGTGTTGATGAATGTACAGTTCTGTGAATATACTACAAACCATTGGCTCATATGTACTTTAAACGGATGAATTGTATGGTATGAGAATTATATCTCAGTAAAGCCATTTTTAAAAAATCACACAAGGGGCTTTGTGATACCCCAGATTTGCTTCACAAATGATTGAATGTGTTTACCCTTATAAAAGAACAACTGAATTGCACTAATTTTTAATCTTTCAAGAAGATTAGTAATGATAGTAATGAAGACCCTTACTTTCTCTGTCATAAAATATGTTGCTCTTATAGATGATATAGGACATAATATATCTCATACTTCATTATTATGAGTTCTCTATTGTATGTAATTTTTTAAATCACCAGGTTCTTGCTTGGAGTATGCTGTTATGTTGGATAAAGAAGCCAAACCTTACAAAGTTGATCCTTTTGTAATTATGGTTAAGTTTCTTTTGGGGTAAGTTTTACTATTTATGATAATGATTTTAATTTTGGTTAATATAGAAAACATACTTGATTGTGTAATGCAGTATAAATTGTCATATAGATTTGGCAATTGGCTTGTTTCTTTAAATGGGAATTTTTCTTAGGAAAATGCTTAAGTATATCAAGATTTATTTCCATAGTATAATCATTTCAGAAATAATTTATATATATGTATATATATATCAAGCTAAATGAGGATTTTAAATTTTATGCTAAACATTTAATATTTGCAAATGGCTATATATGGTCCATGATCCTTAAATATTATTCCAAATTCACAAACACAAACAATTATGAGGTATTGATGAAATAATTCCTCTGATCTCTTTCTCTTACTTAGCATACAAAGTATATTTTAGAGCTTTCTGCCTGGCTTAACATTTCATTGTTAATTTATTCACATTTTGTGTTTTTTTATTTTAATTTTAATTTTTTAAAAAAATTTTTGACAGGCAGAGTAGACAGTGAGAGAGAGAGACAGAGAGAAAGGTCTTCCTTTGCCATTGGTTCACCCTCCAATGGCCGCTGCGCCCGGCGCACTGCAGCCGGCGCACCATGCTGATCCGAAGGCAGGAGCCAGGTGCTTCTCCTGGTCTCCCATGGGGTGCAGGGCCCAAGCACTTGGGCCATCCTCCACTGCACTGCTGGGCCACAGTAGAGAGCTGGCCTGGAAGAGGGGCAACCGGGACAGAATCTGGCGCCCCGACTGGGACTAGAACCCGGTGTGCTGGCACCGAAAGGCAGAGGATTAGCCTAGTGAGCCATGGCGCCGGCCAACACATTTTGTGTTTTTTGGCTAAGAACAATTACTTAAGGAGCTGTTTGGAGTCCTTGCTCTGGCTCCTAACTCCAACTTCCTGGTAATGCAGACCCTGGGAGGCTGCAGGGATAGCTCAAGTAATTGGGTTCCTGCAATGCTTTTGGGATACATGGATTGAACTCCCAACTCCTGGCTCCCACCTTTAGCCTGGCCCAGCCTTGGCCATTATGGATTTTTGTGAAGTAATCATAGATAAGAGCTCTCTCTCTCACTGTCTCTGCCTCTCAAATAAATAAATTTTAAAAACTCAAAAAATTACTTAGATATCTTTTCTTTTATCATTACAACTAACTATTGGCTTTCTAGCTGAAGAAAAAAACAATTTATTTAAGGGTAAGTGGAGGTCAGAAATGCAATATTGAGACTCAGGCCTCAGATCCTTGAAGACTAGGAGGCTCACTTGGAAATTAAAGGACATATTATTTACAGAGAATTGAAACATGTTTCAGTATAATTATACATTAAGTATTGCTCTAGTAAATGGTCAAACATTAATTCTTAACTGTCTATTGTTGGATTTGTGTTTTATCTATTTATTTATACACTTTTTCTTCTATGTTTTCTTTTATCCACAGGTATAAATGGTTTAAAGAACTATGGGATGCACTAATGTTGCCAGAATTAGATGCCATTGTCTTAACTAGTCAGAGCATGTGTTTCCCCCTTGTCTCCTTGATTCTCTTTTTATTTGGAACATGTACTGCCTATTGGAGTGGCCTGGTCTCTTCTACATCTGTGAAACTCCTTTCATCATTGTGGCTAGCTATGAAAAGGTAAAAAATGAATGACTCAAAGCTTTGTTACTGCTCCTAATTAAAACCATTATGTTCCAGTGTGAAACCTTAAAATTATTTTCAATAAAGGAGAGATGTATAACTAGCAAAAGTATGGGTTAGTGTTCAAAGTTATGTCTTTGGTAAAACTAATCATTTATTGCAAATTAAATGCTACATTTAATTTTTACTTTAGCGGTAAAGAATTAATCGAAAAGTTTGACCAAAGGTACTTTTAAATTTCACTATTGTAAATTTTTCCCAGGAGGAATTGTTTCTCTGACAGTGCTTTTATATGCTGACTTCTGTAATCAAACCTGAGGGAAAAGACTTCAGTCAAGATACTTAGCATCAGATTAGATGAGATGTATAAAAGTTCCAGAAATATTGTCTGGAATTTTCTTAGAGTCCAGAGACTCTGTCTTCCTGGTAAAGCACCATTGTAGCTTCCATAGCCACTCCTTCATACCAGACATGTGTTTTACTGTCCCTGTTTGAATTGTGGTGTGATACCCCACCCTCCACCTCTCTGCAGTGCCTCTGGTGGAGGTTTCTGATGGTGATGCCATCAAGCATCTGTGTGATGTTGAGTGTTTAAGAAATCGAAAATTGCTCCTTATGCTGTTAAGATTGAAGATGTATTGCACAATATTTTTGTCTGTAATTAGTGGTTATCTTTGGTAGCATTTTTTGTTCCTTAGTACAAGTTATGCTTTAGTGTTTCTAATTGGAAGAGGAACTATTACAGGTCGAAGAGAACTTATAATCAAAGATATGTGATGACTGCCTTTAATTAAAAATACCTTACAGTTTACCTCATAGTACTTGTTTACTAATAAGCAAGAAAGAAGGGCAGAGTAGTATAGGTTGAATACTTCTTATCCAAAATGCTTGAGACCAGAGTGTTTTGGATTTTTTAAAATATTTGCATGTATATAATGAGTTATCTTGGGAATGAGACCCAAGTCTAAGCAAAAATGCATTTGTGTTTTATAGGCACTTTATGCACATACCTTCAAAGGTAATTTTATAAAATATTTTTAGTGTACCTGTGTTTTGGCTGCAACCTGTTACTTTGAGCTCAAATGTGGAATATTCTTTTCTATTTGTGATAACATATTGCTCAAAAAGTTGGATTTGGAGGCAGTTCAGATTTTGTATATAATTTATATGTAATTTTATTTTTATGTGTGATTGTATTAATATCTATTCATATGTTTCTAACTGTATTGTTATTCCAGACCCTCTGAACTTCCCAAAGATATCAAGATGTTATCTCCAGACTTGCCCTTTTTGACAATTGTTTTGATCATAGTTAGTTGGACAACTTGTGGAGCACTTGCCATACTTCTTTCTTATTTTTACTATGTGTTTAAGGTATGTCTAATCAGTAAAGCCAGAATATGACTAGGCTTTGTATTAGGCTGACCTAGATTGTCATGAAGGTGTTGTTAACAAAATTTTTAATTGCTGCTGTAGTAGCCTTCTGTTATATAACAATTTTAAATTTAAAGGTTTTTTTTAAAAACATTTTAATTAGTTAAATTATATAAATTAACTATAGAACTGAAGTTACTATTCTGAGTTAGGGTTTCTTATTTAAAAAAAAAAAAAAACAAAGGAAAGGGAGAGAATACTATTTGTTTAAAGTTGTTCTTTCCTCTTTAAAAACATTTTGCTAGAGCAGTTTTTATTCATACCTCTCTTTACATGGGTGAGTTAATAAATTAATAAGATCAATCCATCATGCTGAGATAATGTAAATATTAGAAAACTTGCCAAAGAGTCAGAACACAATGATCAAAATAATTGGGCTAGTAATGTTGCTGAAGAAGTGAAAAACACTTCCAAGAAGACTGACAGCTTACAGGAAAATCCAGGAAGTTATCCAGCTCTGTACTCCCCATATTATTCTTAAGGACAGATTGCTGACATTAGATTAGATAATAATTTTTTCTGGGGCCAGCACTGTGGCACAGCAGGTTAAGCCTCCGCCTGCAGTGCTGGCATCTCATTTTGGCTTGAGTCCCAGCTGCTTCACTTCCAGTCCAGCTCCCTGCCTAATGTGCCTGTGAAAGCGGCAAAGATGGCCCGAGTCATTGGGTGTCTGCCACCTACTTGAGAGGCCTGGGAAGAACTCCTGGTTCTGGCTTCAACCTGGCCCAACCCTGGCCATTATGGCCATTTGAGGAGTGAACCAGTAGCTAGACTATCTCTCTCTCTCTCTCTTTCAAATAAATAAATTTTTAAAATAGTAATTTTTTTCATTTTTCATGTTCATTTTAATTAATTTTTAACAGATTCAATATGATTTATAGATAAAAGTCCAAAAGCTTATAATGATATTCCTTTCCTCCCTCCCACTCTTCTTCCTTCTACTTTTCTTTTTTAGTTTTTGAGATAACATTTTAAATTTATATTACAGTAAAAAGGCTTTCTACTTCACCCAAATAGAAGTTTAACAGGTGAAAAGCAAAAGACCCTAGTTTAGTGGGAATATACACAATGGGTGTAAACAATAATTGAATGGAAAAAATGACTGTTTGACTCATATACATATTTTTTGTCAAATAATCATTCATAATTTCTTTCAATGAAATAGAACCAATGGCAATGTAGCATCTCAATATTTCCTGTGTGGATACAGGATAATAATTAAGTTCATTTAGATATTAAGCCATCTGCATAAAATTATTCCTGTGCATAAATTTTTTGTTTTTAAACAAAGATTTATTTGTCTCTGTTTTTAACACCGATGCATGCATGGAAATTGTAAATTATTTCCAGTTTTCCAAAGGAAATTTATATGCATCTGAAAAAAACTATTTGTAGGTACTTTGATTTTTCTTATGTATTTCAAACAGCTGACCCAATAAGCAAAACTTTCTCACTTAAAGAAACCTAATGAATTAAATATACAGATTTTTTTCAGTTTCTTAGAAATATTTCAATACTATATATGATCAGATTTTCAAATTAGATTTTCAAAGATTTAGAATATGTGAACATGTTAAGTTTGTTTACCCTATTAAATATAATCAAGTATTTGTCTGATAAGATCCATTAAGATGCTGTACCGAGGCATCATTCAGACGTATGTTCACAGAATATAAAAGGTATTGCAGTATACCTTAGCCACAACATAACTGGGAAATTTGTATTATTTTGTTTTCTACTTTTTTTTTAAATCCATGATAGCAAGTGTATGTAGTTATCATCTTTTATAAAATAATGTTTAAGTGAATTTTCATTTGTTTAGGTTTTGTAAATTCCAGATTAAACTGCTTCTCAGTTTTTAGTAGAAAGGCTCATACTCATTGTTTCAAACTAAAGTACAAGTCATTCCTTTTTCCTAGATCGTTCATTTGCAAGCCTGCCTAACAACTTTTAAAAATAACCAGCCTGTGGTGAGTTTTATCTTCAAAACTGTATGTAACTTCAATGTGAAATAACATGTGGAATAGTAAGATTCTGTTTTTAAAAGATGTTATGATCTCAGGGCCAGCATTGTGATGTAGTGAGTTAAGCCACCACCTGCAGTCTGCCATTCCATTTGGGCACTGGTTTGAGTCCTGGCTTTTCCAATTCAGATCCAGCTCCCTGTTAATGCACTTGGGAAAGCAGCAGAAGATGGCCCAAGTATTTGGGGCCCTGCACTCATGTGGAAGACCTGTATATAAAGCCCCTGGCTTGCTCCTGGCCCAGTCCCAGCCACTGTGGCCATTTGGGGAGTGAACCAGTTGGAAGATTTCTCCCTCTCTCTCTGTCTTCTCCCACTCTGTCCCTCTGCCTTTCAGATAAATAATGTTTTAAAGATTATGATCTTAGCCGGCACCGTGGCTCAATAGGCTAATCCTCCACTTTGCGGTGCCGGCACACCGGGTTCTGTCCCGGTTGCCCCCCTTCCAGGCCAGCTCTCTGCTCTGGCCCGGGAGTGCAGTGGAGGATGGCCCAAGTGCTTGGGCCCTGCACCCCATGGGAGACCAGGAGAAGCACCTGGCTCCTAGCATCGGATCAGCACGGTGCGCCGGCCGCAGCGCGCCGGCCCGCGGCAGCCCATTGGAGGGTGAACCAACGGCAAAGGAAGACCTTTTTCTCTGTCTCTCTCTCTCACTGTCCACTGCCTGTCAAAAAAAAAAAAATTATGATCTTACAGTGTTTAAAAGGTATTATGAATTTAAGTAACTTTAAGGAAAGTAAACACTACTAAAATAAATTTAAGTCATTCTAAATTGATCTTTATCAGTTACTGTGTCATTTTGGTATTATTACAAATTATCTTTTGAATTTTTTTTGGTTAAAAAGAAATCTTTATTTTACAAAATTAAAAAACATAAATAGTATTTACAAGCATCTTTTTTTTTTTGGACAGGCAGAGTGGATAGTAAGAGAGACAGAGAGAAAGGTCTTCCTTTTGCCGTTGGTTCACCCTCCAATGGCTGCCACAGCTGGCGTGCTGCGGCCAGCGCACCATGCTGATCCGAAGCCAGGAGCCAGGTGCTTCTCCTGGTCTCCCATGTGGGTGCAGGACCCAAGTACTTGGGCCATCCTCCACTGCCTTCCCTGGCCACAGCAGAGAGCTGGCCTGGAAGAGGGGCAACCGGGAAAGAATCCGGCGCCCCGACCGGGACTAGAACCTTGTGTGCCGGCGCCGCTAGGTGGAGGATTAGCTTATTGAGCCATGGCGCCGGCCACAAGCATCTTAAATACCAGCTTATGATACTTGACAGTTTGGAATAATTTCAAATTGAATTTTCCCTAAGCTTTTAAAATGCAAAATTATTCATGTGCTTCAATGAGTTATGCAGTTTTTGTTGCTACCATTCCAACAGGATTTTTGGTTTTTCAGAATTGTTCAGACTCTAGTCATTCAAAAAAATACACTGTACTTTTTAAATGACTAGCTTAAAAAAAAAAAGTCCTGACCTTCCTACCCCAAGTTGTGGGATATTACCCCAGGGAAACTCTATAAACCAGACTTTTTACTGTCCTGTTTATAAATCACCACTATAACTTTTTAAAGACTCACATTCCTGGCACTCACATTAATCCACCTGCCCTAACTTCTCAGGAGGAGCAGAAAAGATGGAGACGATAGGTGGAGGGGTGCATATGAGCATCTGAAATCACACTGCTGAAAATATAACACAATTATGAGATCTTTTGAATTTTATTTTGATAATTACCTGGAAGATAGGGATATACAGGATACTTTGAAAAGCTCATGAAAAAGACTCTGTGTTTACCCAGCAGTTAAGAGGTTCACATCTACATCAAAGAACCTGAGTTTGATTCCTGACTGCAGTTTCCTGCTAACACAGACCATAGGAGGCAGCCTTATTGGCTTAAGTAATTGGGACCCTGGATTGCATTCTTTGCTCCCAGGTTTAACTCTGCCCACACCTACCTCCAGCAGTTGTGAACATTTGAAGAGTGAATCAGCAGATGGGAACACGTTCTGTCTATCTGTGTCTTTGTCTCTTTCTGCCTCTCAAATATCAAATAAATTGTTTTTAAACTCATGGAAAATGGCATTAAGAATGTTTATTTCAGAACAAAAAAATTCTGAAATCCATGCAGTTTTTTCATAATACACGTTTTCATGAACTTCTTAAAGTCCCCTTGTATGCATGGATTTCAAAGTGTTTTACACTAAAATAAACTTACCTTTTAATAACATTTTTCTACAGACTTTTTGAAGCACACTCATATTCTCAGCTGTGAGAATAGAAAGTCAAAGGAATGAAAAAGTATTGTAACTATAACCATTTTAAAGTGTCTTTAAATAATTGTAATGATTTATGTCACTTTGGTAATGGAAAGATATACTTGTTTATCTTTTAAGTACTTGAGCTTGATTTTGAATAAATAATATCTTAAAATTATTTTTGTTTACTTAGCATCTTGATATTTTAATTTTGTGCTTTTATAGAATCCCAAGCATTCTAGAAGAAGTGAAAAAAAATCCAATCACCATAAAGACTCTGCAGTACACCATCTTCGTTTATCTGCTAATGATGCTGAAGACAGCCTTCGTATGCACAGTACTGTGATTAACTTACTAACATGGATAGTGTTACTCAGCATGCCGTCTTTAATTTATTGGCTAAAGAATCTTAAGTGAGTTTTATGTATATAATTATTATTTATGTCGTTCAAACAATAAGCATCTTTAAATAGAGACTTCTTCCTGATACTCCACGAAAATTCCTCAGGAACACAAGTTTGGGGCCTATGTCACAGCAGGTTAAGCTGCGGCCTGCAGCGTCACCATCCCATATGGGCGCTTGTTTGAGTCCCAGCTGCTCTGCTTCCCATCCAACTCTGCCAGTGTGCCTGGGAAAACAACATAAGATGGCTCCTAGCTCGTGGCTTTGGCCTGGCACAGCCTTAGCCATTGTGACCATTGGGGGAAGTGAGCCAGCAGGTGGAAGATTTCTCTCTGTCTCTTCTTCTCTCTCTCTATAACTCTGTCTTTCATGTAGGTGAAAAAATCTTACACACACACACACACACAATTATATATTACCTGAAATTTGTATTTAGTACATTAACATTCTCTTCTTTACCATGAGAATAAACTTCCCCAAAAATCAGCCAAAAAAGAATAAATTGTATTTTTGTCTACTGAAAAATTACTAAGTAAAAGATGACCTCATCCCAGTAGGATTTGAACCCTTCACTACTAAATATAGTTATCAAAAATAAAATTTTCAGTTTATCTAAATATGGAAAGTATTTCTTTAAGTTGGTAAACCAAAAATAAATTCAGTAAATTAAGTCAAAGGTTACCAGATGTTAATATCCTTCTATTGTCCCTCTTTTTAGTCAGTGCCCACTGTTTTCTTAACACATTTGCAGTCAGAATTATTTGAGAAACACAAATTTGTGATTCTGAAGGCTGTAGAAACTTACTGTCAATAAATGCATGAGACAGTCCTGGATGTTAAGCATTTGGAAAGTGAACCAGCAGATCAGAGATCACTCTCACCCAATCAATCAGTATCTCTTCCCCTCTGCCCCCTTTTTGGGCATAAACCTATTGTAAAAAGGAAGTGCTTTCATACTGTGTATTATCATTTCCTTTAGTAATTTGTAAACATAATTTTACATATAAAGTATTGGGTATAAAAATAATCTAGAATAAAAAATTACTTACTAGACTCTTCATGAGCTGTTTAGAACTCTCATATATATTGCTACTGTAATACTCTAACCATTATATAATTTTATTCTAACAATTTAAAAAGACCTGGTCTGTTTTGTTGACTTATGTTTCATATTTTTATTGTTACAGGTATTATTTTAAACTTAATCCTGATCCATGTAAGCCTTTGGCATTTATCCTTATTCCGACTATGGCAATTCTTGGAAATACTTACACTGTTTCAGTAAAATCAAGGTACAGTAGTTTAATCTTTCTTTCCTCATATTTCTTCTGGCCTTTATCACCTTTATTTTATTTCTGAAACATACTCTTTAATTTAATGAATTAGACTATTCCTAAAAGTAAAGCCACAACAATATTATGATTTATAAGCAGATATAGTTTATATGCAAGTGTGTTATCCTTGTTTTCTTAATTTTAGGTCTTAGTTGTTAGGCTGTAATTATACAGGTTTTTTTCCTTAAAAGTTAACCCTTGAAAGATACGAATGATTTGCTTCCAAAAAGTACAGGAGTGGAAGCAGATAGACGAAGTAAGATTGGCTCTGATTTGATAATTTTTCAAACAGGGTCATGGGTGCGTGAGGGCTCATTATGCAGCTTACTTTTGTATATGTTTGGAATTTTCTGAAGTAATACTTGGCTTTTTATTTACCGGTTGTTGCTCTGGAGGCCTTTTCTGTTGATTCTGGCAGATATTCTAGAATTAAGTAGACCTGGGATTAAAGCTTGACTCACCATTTTCTAGCTCTGTATCCTTCAGCAAGTTTCTTAATCCATATTATCCTTAGTTTCTCTGTTTTCAGAGCAAAACGTGATAGTCTTTTCTGAGAGTAGTATTCTCTTAAAAATTTTAGTGTTTTGTCTTATGTGCGCCTTTTGTTACAAATTAAATATGACTGCTTTTTGTTTGGCTAGGTTTTTGCTTTTTAAGTAGGAGTAAGATAAACATTCCTGCAGCTGTGTCTTACTGAAAATTATTGATTGTTTTTGTTATAACACATTCCTAAAGATAGAATTGCTGAATAAAAGCCCTGCTAATATTTTTATGTTGTTAAAATGTGAAAGATTAAACAAAGCTGGCTATTTTCTGGATAGAAACAGACATTTTATTTTAGCTCACAATGTAGTTTGCATAACATTTATTTTCCTCTCTTTGCAGTAAGTTATTGAAGACTGCCTCACAGTTTCCACTTCCTCTGGCTGTTGGTGTAATTGCTTTTGGGTCAGCACACTTATACAGGGTTCCATGCTTTGTCTTCATTCCTCTTTTACTCCATGCATTGTGCAACTTTATGTAAGGGTGGACATAAGGAATGATGAAGATGATTTATGCCTTTAGGGTCCGTAAGAAGAATGAACATACAGATCCATCAACATGGACAGCGAGGTCCTTTGGAGAAGACAAGTCTATTTTTACAGTATTGAAAAATAGGAAATTAGTTTTGTACTGCTTGAGAAAAGTAGTTGAAGCATGGTTTTGTTTTGTGGTATAATATCTGGTAATAGTCATGTTTGAAAAATTATTGAAAGGATGTGCTGGCCACTATCTTTGAGGACTGCAGTGCATTATCTACTACTCTGCTTCATCATCGTGCCAGAGATTTTCACATAGAGACTCAGTAGCTACAGCATTATAATCTCATGTCAGACACTCTGCTCGTTTCACCATGCTCTCTTCTGAGAACTGGGTTATTTTATATTTGTTGTGGTTTACATTTGGAAAATAAGTCTTAAAAGATTGATGAAATTTACAGCTGTTGGGTTTCCCAAAAGTGAAATAGCCACGAAGAGTCTTCGGTCAGTTTTTGACAGCTATAGGGAATCTAGTAGATTGTTTGTCTTCTTAACATCCATGAAAATCACTGCTTTGAATTGTAAGGAGACAGGATTTCCTGGTAACCAGTGCAAGACTGATGGATGGAAACATGATTCAAATTTGAAACAGTGAAATATTCTTATTATTTTCAAAAATGAATCTTAGGTATTCTTGGTGAATACTAGGAGACCATTAAAGAGATCTATTGTTAAATATAAAGAAAATTCTCATAGATATTTACTTACTGGCATTGAAGGAGTTCAGTTGTTCGGTCTATGCCATTTGATATAATTCATTTTCCCCATGGTTTCTAAAAGTGCCTCCAGTCATGATAAATTGGTAACTAAATTCCATTGGTTGGAAAACTCTAGGTTTGTGCCATTTTTAATCTGTGGGAAAATATCAACATGATCAAGTGTGGCTTTATATTTGATGTATAAAATGAAGCTATGAATATTTAGTAGTATAAATGTTAACAGTACACCTGAATAAATTGAGACTTTAGCTAGTAACAGAGGAATCTTGATTTTCCCAGATGACTTATAGGGTAATTGACAAATAAGAGAGTAACATTTCTATTTCATTTCGAATTTCAGTTCATTCTTAGCTGCAAAGGAGTGGGAAGAAGGTAATGGAACAAGATGAAAGAATATAGTAGTCTTAGCTTTTGGATGGCATAAACTCAAGCTGAGCTAACACCTGGCTCGTGTAGCCCTTCTTGTAGATGTGTATACTGTAAATATCTAAAATCTCTCAAGTAAAGTGAGCCCACACTTGTGAACTTGTGTCCTTGTTAGTACCCAGGGGTGTCCTAGAGAACCAGTTTCATTTTTTCTGCCGTTGCTTCTGGATTCCATTGCAGGCTCTCAGATGTTACTGCCTGTAGAGGTTTACCTCATTTCTCAGTTCTTCTCAGGTCCTTGCTTTTCAAGCATCAGTTAAAAAAAAGTCTTGCTGTTTTATTTGAGGATTACAAGTTTGATTCCATTGTTGTCTTTTTCCAGCTTCATGCCTATTGTTCAGTATGTATATTTTCACTTACTGAGCCTATTAAAGGAAAGTGATAACTTCATAATAGATGTGGCAGCCACATCAGGCTTTTGGTTGTTTGAAAGAATTAGCAAAAGGGATAAAATATTAGTGTTTGTGTGTTCGGTCCCTGAGGGAAAGCAGAATTTATTATATACTTATCTCATGACATACCACATCCATATTTAAGTTAAGGACACTTCTGCCTATGGCTTTACATGTCCTTATAAACAACTTTTTACATGTGGTATCTTTTAGTTTGCCACTGTATCTCTAGTTACAAGTTAAATATGTCATTTAACTGTTTCTGAATTTGCACTTATATCTACATATAGAAAGAACTTCATTAATTTGTATCTTCTGTTGACAGGCATAATCATTATTTATATGATCTAAAGTTTCACCCAGTCACTACTGCTCATGAATAAAGTGAGACTCAAACTTTTTCTCATTTGTGAGGAGTGCACTTGCTTTTTAAAGTACTAGACTAGGCAAACTAATTCTCACTAAAATGTCTTCATGTGAGTATGGTTTTTCCAATCCGTTAAGTACTATATGTGCCAACCAAATATTTCATTTTAAAGATGACAGAATTCCAATTAAACTCTTTATAAATAGGTAGGGGCTTTATCCATTATATATATTTATATACGAACACACACATATATATATAATGGTATTGAAAAATGAAGAAATAGAAGGTAAAAGAAGATAGTATGTTTTGTAGATTTCATTTGTGTTTCTAGATTTTTTTCAGTCCTCTATGATAAAAATACCCCATTTGTGAATTTAGGACAAATGAAACTCAGTATAAATGCACATTCACTCTTTCACAATCATTCCCTTATTCTGCTGGAACAGTGCCCCCAACTATATTGGCCTGTCTCAGGTCCTCGTTGCTTGAATTCAGTTTGAATTCTATATGTACACTTTCATATACTTTGTGTACACTTTCATTTTGACAGGGTCTTCATCAAGCACTTTAAATTCAAATTGCTACCAGAGTTGAGAAGGTAGACTGTGTCCTAAGATTAGCAAAATCGTAGGACATGCACACTTGGGAAAAAAAATCCTTTGCCTTTAGATTACATACTGTTTTTCTCATGCTTACAACCTATAGTATTAGTTGGCAAAACAGTACAGCCCTCTTAGCAGCATCTGACTGCTCAGTGGCAGTAAGATATTATCTAATTCAGCAAATTTCTGAACTCTACTCTTAGGGCATTTTTATTTAGAAATTGTTGTGTTTTGAGTATTGAGCTTATAAAATAATTCCTGGACTCTATTGTTGATGAATAGACCAAACACTAACTGGAAAGGAAAACACTGGGTACTTAGAATGTTTCTAAGGCCTCCTCTGGGGTTATTATTGTAATTTAAAACTGACAGTATGATGGAGATTATTGACACTTTTTTCTGGACCCTTTTTATGCCAGAAATTAAACAGGTTTTCATAACTCTTTCCTTGTTTATCATCAGAATGAAAATACTTAAGGCAGTGTTTCTAAGAAAAAGCCATTTGTGCCTGGTTAACAATGATTTTGAGTCTCTTTAATACATACAGATAATAATCAATCTTTCGTTTTCATATTTTGGTTAGTTAAATTCAGATTGTATAACAGGATACCTTTTCTTGAGTGAACTATACTAATATCTACATGATTATTCAATGAGGAAATGGACATAAAGAACTATAGTGGGTTTAATAGATCTTTGTTGTTAGTTATCACTTTTGTAGACACTACACATTTCCATAACACTCAAATTTATGTGGGATGATTTATTCATTTTTATTTTTATTTATTTTTATTTTTTTATTTTTTATTTTTGACAGGCAGAGTGGACAGTGAGAGAGAGAGACAGAGAGAAAGGTCTTCCTTTTGCCATTGGTTCACCCTCCAATGGCTGCCGCGGCCGGCATGCTGCGGCCGGCGCACCGTGCTGATCCGATGGCAGGAGCCAGGTGCTTCTCCTGGTCTCCCATTGGGTGTAGGGCCTAAACACTTGGGCCATCCTCCACTGCACTCCCGGGCCACAGCAGAGAGCTGGCCTGGAAGAGGGGCAACCGGGACAGAATCTGGCGCCCCGACCGGGACTAGAACCCGGGGTGCCAGTGCCACAAGGCGGAGGATTAGCCTAGTGAGCCGCGGCGCCGGCCGGGATGATTTATTCATTAAACAGTTCTTACATTTTCTTAATTCTTTGGACTTCTCAGAACATGATGTATTCATTCCTCTTTGCTACTTGTTAGCACCTCTTGTAGAAAGTGGCCAAGGGAAATACAGGGAAGTAAAACTCAGTTTTCAGTTCTTTTGAGGTAAACTAGGGCTATTGACTCCTGAGTGCCCACATAAACCAGTTGGCCTGTGCTTTCATCTTAGACATTAGGTCTCAGTCAGTGTAATGTTTCCCATTAATAAGGTTTTAGTGTAACACTTCTCAATGCTGCATTTGAAATTTTAGGAAAAGGTTTTAAAATCATCTGGGAAAAAATTTTTAGTATGTTGGGACCTTCTGTGACTAGGTATTTTTGATTGTTTTTCCTTGTCACTTTTTGTTCTCTCAAATGTGTAGTACTTACAAACTTTATATCATAGGAAACAAGATACCTTGTGAAGTTTACTGAGGAAAATCAGCTTGGAGACTGTGACACTCAATAGATGAGAGGACGCAGTAAAAGTATTTGTAATAGGAAATTAGACTCTGCCAGGAAACTTCTTGCCAAATAAGGTAAACATAGAAGATATTTTTTACAACATTGTAAGGTGATTGAGAGCTAAAATTTTAGGCCAGTCTTTCTGAACAAAGAACATTTCAAATTCTATAATGAACTTTTATTTATACATACTTCTCATACATTGTTTCTCAGTAAATTTTAGTAGGTCGAGGAAATAAGGCTGTGAAGTTACTTATGCTCTTTGGTTTTTATAAGGAAACGTCAGATCAGTAATCCAAATTCAGATGTATGTACTGTAAATTCTCAAAAGCTCATACTTTTTTTTAAAAAAAATGACTGTCCTGATTTTATATGCTTAATAATTCTGTTTTGAGAACAACATAAAATTTGGCAGTAGTGAGAATAGACAAGCTATTGTTCCATTTATAGTATAAATTTGACAGAATACCTAAATTGATAACATGTCTTTCAAAAGCTTGGTGATATTTTAAGCTACTTCTTGATTAAATTGTATATGGTTGATAATTTTTAAATCCAGTAAATACTTTGTGAAAACATTTGGCGTGTTATCTGCCAAAAATTTTGAAATATCAAGTGATCAGTTAGTTTCTGATGACTTTCTATATGACTTGGTAAATACGAGTCAGAATCGATCTGTAATCACTGTACATTAAGATTTTGAACACTTAAAAGAAACTGTATCTGTTGGTGTATTTTAACTAGTTTGTTTATTTACATATTTCAATTCAATCTTAGTTTAGAAAGTCTAAAAGTAACCATTTTGGTAAAGTTCATATGCTATTTTTTTAATGTTTTGGTTTTTAGTATTTATATAGTAGTAATGTTTTTCGAAAGTTTATAGACAAAGCCTAGAGATATTAACTGTTCAAAAGCCTAGGTGATAGGCATATTTTGTATTTCATGTTGCACTTGTTCTGTTTCATATTGGACTTTTTACATCCCTTTTATAGGAAAAAAATTCTTAGCATAAAGCTCTGCATTGGAAATTATATAACTGTATTCGTATGGTTAGCAAAACACACTTTGCCACCAAAGCTAAATGAAACTGTAAAATACCTCTGGATATTTGTGCCAATGAACTTTTCTTAGCATATTGGAATTAAAACAAAAATAATCTTCTCAGTATTTATTATTTAGGACTTAATAAATATGTAAAGCATAAAAGCTTCTATTCCATATTCCAATTTTTCTTTTGAAAATATTTAAGATTATTGCAGAGTATGTCCTATTTTGCCTGATTTCTTGACTTTTCAGATTTTATTAAGTATAAGAATTCATACAATAATGATCTTTCAGCATTTAGTTGAAGTGATCATTTGAAGTAACTATGCTTCAAATTCATTTGTGATATGAAACATTAATTTTTATTGTATAAACTGTTTTGGTATAGGTATCTCATTTATATAATTGAAAGTTTATTATGGAATTTCTTTTGTTTTCTTTGTGTTTCCATTTAATCCCTTTATACAGTCACATGTTTCACCAGGGGAAATTATCCACTAGGACCTAACATAATTCAGTGAAGTAAAACTTTTTTAAAGTGTTTTTCTTAAAGGAAAATATTCTAGAAAATCAAGATGTTAATGCTAAAGTGTTAACATTAATACAGTGGTGTACTTGAGAGACAAGTAGAAATAGTGTAGTCTCAGAAACTGCTGTTTATTTGCTTAAATGCTGTAATTTTTCCCCATTGAAATTCTAAGGAAATTTCAGCCCCTCGTAGTTTGCCCCATCATTTATTACACTTACTGTTTCTCTGCTCAGTAGTGTTCGTACAGTTTGCATTAAGTAGCCCTGAGGTGAAGAGGCAGCACATAAAGCCAAATATTAAAATATTTGGCCTTGATATAGTGATAGTTGATCCAATTATATAATGGGAGCTATGGGTGATATTAGTAAAGAGATGATGTACAAGACGTAAATTCAGTGTACACTTTTTTTGGAATGAGTTTGTCCTCTGTGTTGAGTAATGTTAGCCTTAGTAGGAGATGGCTGTGTTTAATGTAATGCGTTCTATAGTCAAGTATCTATTTGTTGGAATATTGGTTATATAACCTTTCCCTCCTCTGTGGTGGGAGGGAGAAAAGGCTCCAATTTGTAGTGTATCTAAGTTAGGAAACTGTATCATGTATTTACATTTTTAAAATACAGAGCAATGATGTAAACATTGTTTTGAAGTGATTGTATTGCAGTTTTTGAAAATCATGACTAAATATAAATGTAGCAATGTACCCATGAGAAACCAGACCAAAATCGAATATATAATCATCACTGTGACCTTGAACTTGTAGTAATTTGGGATAAAACAGATTGTGCCTTAAAATGATAAAGGAATGCCCTGCAGGTTTATAACTATATTTTATTATGGGTGGTCTTTGCAAATTGGTCTTAAATCTTTTTATTTGAGGTTGGTGAAATAAAAATACTGGTACTTCCCCCTTATATTTACAGAACTATTGCTCTAGAATTCTCCCTTAATTTCTGTAGTTTTTCTTTTTAATTGACTTAAGTAAGCTACATAGATGTAGAAAATAAAGTTTGGCTAATGTGTCTGAAAAAATTATTTTAGAAGATGGTGGCTCTTCTATTGTGAACTTATTTCACATGGAGAAACTTTCATTTGTAATTTTTGTCTTATTAATGAATATCAGAGACATGAATTCTTTGCTAAGACATGTTCTCGTTTTTCCTCAGATTATTGAGGTTTGTGTATGTATACATCAAATAAAGTTAATTTACCCAATTGTAGTTTTTCAGTAATTACTGAGATTCATTTAATATATTTTTAATATTATTTTACGCCATTTATCTTTCTTTTTCCTTCCTAATTATTTTTAAAGTATCAGATCAAGGTTCTTTTTTTTTTTTTTTAAAGATTTAAGGCTATAGTTTTTTTAAAAAATACACAAAGTCTTACATTTTTGCTGTGCTTATTTAAAATCCAAATTATTCCTTTTATAGGATAATCATGGTCTTTGTTAAAAGATGCCTACATGTCTGTGTACTTGAAGAATATATTTTTCAATTTCAAATTTGGACATAATAACACTTGTTTTCTTCCTATTTCCTCTTTAGTATCTCCCCCAAAGGACCCCCAAAAAAGGTTTCTCTCAAAATATCTAAAAAGAAATTATATCTTTCCTTAAAGCATGGACAAATTGATAAAAAAGTAGTTTCATCAAGAATATGTAATAAAATAAATGGCTCTCAACTTACATTAATTTTTATACTATAGTTAAAATTTTAGAGGACAAACTGTTACGCTGAGATAGACTCAGTAAAGTAATCATTTATTTGCAAATTAATTTTGGTTTCATACAGCAAATACATTGCTTAGTACCAATACTTAGCAGTGCAGAGGAACTTGTCCTGTTGCGTATACGGAAACATGATTGTCACCTTGCAGATCTTTCCATTTAAACACGCATGATTTTCTCTAGTACTTTGTACAATGTATGGTGTACTAAATACCCTTATGTGTAATTTTGTGTGTATTTTTCTTATGGTATAATTGACATAATTACATTTAACTGGTTGTAATTCACAAAAAGTGCTACTTATTGTACTCTGTAGAGTGTTGTGAATGTTTTTACTTGAGTTTCAACATTATGGTGTAGGTTTAATAGATGAATATTTGCCTTCAGTCTCCGCTCAGGTATTAATGTGTAGCCATTCTTGGTGCTTTCTTTTTAATCTGTTACCATCTGGTGTTCTGGGCGTTCAAAAATAAATTTGGTGAATAAGCACATGTGGTGCAAAGATTGCTTCCCAGTTCACATACTCTCCACAGTACTCTCATAGAAGAAAACCTTTAAAATGTGGTTTCTTTATAATGTCCTCTAGCGTTTCAGAAATTAGAATGCCTAGTCAGGATGGGCTATGACATATCACAAGTAAACATTAGAAGCAAGATAAGTTATGGGATTTTTCCAACATTGTATTTTGTAGTTCCCCACATGCATCTGCAAGAACATTTCATGATTCATATTCTATGTTAAGGATTACACAGTTAAAATTCTTCCAAAAACCTTGCTTTCCACTTTGCTTATGCTATTTGATATACTCTTGGGTGACTGTGTTCCCAATTTAGTCAGAATGAGAATCATTTATGCATAGTTTGTAGACAGGTTTCAAGTTTATTCCAGATTTACTGAATTTGATCTTTAGGTAACAAGCCTGAGGTTCTGTTTTGCCAGTGCCCCAAAAATAATTTTCAAACAAGGTTAGTGGATAATATGTTAGTCAATAGAATTCACTTGTTAGGGATCCTAGTAGCAACTAAAAAGACTGTCTTTAGGACTATAATGTGCCAAAAGAAGCATTAAAGAATTTGAGATTAAGCATAGATTCTGCCTTTACTATGGAATGAGAGTGAGGAGTAAAATGGGGTAGGATGTATTTTAAGGATGATTTTCTTCTAAATTATTTCAATGAGCATCCATAAATTTATGAACATTATGAATTATATACCCATAATAGCATTATATGTCATTAAATGTGCTCCAAAAGTATATTTTAAAGGAAGGAAAGTATTTAAGTAGAAGATTTATTTGCTTTGGTTACCTAAAGGACTATTTTGAAACCAACCCAATTTAGAAACCGCCAACTTCACAACATGAAAATCTCATGTGTCTTTACCACTAGCTTTGTCCCCCTTTTTTCAACTTCTTCATTTTCACCCCCTTTCTCATATAGATAGGTAGATACACACACACATTGTGTATATTATATACATATATATATGACTGCATAGCAAATCATTACACATTTGCCAGCTTAAAACGTTATCTATAACTGCTATAATCCAAAAGTTGGACTTTTGAAATTTATATTAAATAAGAGTTTTCTATATAAAAACAAATTATCCATTTGCTTGCCCACATTTCTGAAGTCTGAATATAGCCCAACTGGATTCTCTACCCAGAGCCTTACTTCTGAAATCAGTGATTTGGGTGGGACTGCTGTCTTATTTGAGGCTCATTTAAGTTGTTTGTAGGACTCACTTCCTTGTGGTTACAGGGCTGAAGTCCCTGTTTTCTTGCTGGCTGAGCTCTGGTGTTTGCTCTGCAACACATCCCTTCATAGCGTGGCATTTTGCTCTTTCAAGACCAGCAGAAAAATTCCACTTGGTCAGGTTTTTTTTTTTTTTTTTTAAAGATTTATTTATTTATTTGAAAGAGTTACACAGAGAACAAGAGGAAGAGAGAGAGAGAGAGAGCTAGCTTCCATCCACTGGTTCACTCCCCAATTGCTGCAATGGCCGGAGCTGTGCCAATCCAAAGCCAGGAGCCAACAGCTTCTTTTGGGTCTCCCACATGGGTACAGGGCCCCAAAGACTTGGGCCATCTTCCACTGCTTTCCCAGGCCACACCAGAGAGCTGGATTGGAAGTGGAGCAGCAGGGACTAGAACCCGTGCCCATATGGGATGCCAGCACTGCCGGTGGCAGCTTTACCCACTACGCCACAGCGCCAGCCCCCACTTTGTCACTCTAACTTCCTCTGCTTCTGACCCTTAGATCCAGATTTTAAATTCACTGAAATAATTTCTCTTTTGATTAACTCAAAGTAAATCTTAATTACATGGTCAAAATCCTTTTTGGGAGGCCAGCGCTGTGGCGTAGTGGGTAAAGCTGCTGCCTGCAGTGCATCCCATACGGGTGCCGGTTCAAATCCCAGCTGCTCATCTTCCAATCCAGCTCTCTGCTATGGCCTTGGAAAGCAGTAGATGGCCCAAGTGCTTGCGCCCCTGCATCCACGTGGGAGACCTGGAAGAAGACTCTGGCTTCTGGCTTTAGATAAGCACAGCTCCAGCTATTGCAGCCAACTGGGGGGTGAACCATCACATGCAAGACATCTCTCTCTCTCTCTCTCTCTCTCTCTCTCTCTCTCTGCCTCTCCTCTCTCTGTAACTCTTTTAAGTAAATAAATCTTTAAAAAAAATCCTTTCGCCACATAAGGTAATGTAATCATTTTCCATCCTATTTGCTGATGCCGCCCACAGTCAAGGAGTGGGGTTTATTACGAAGTGTGCAGTGCAGGTGCGAATCTTGAGGACAGTTTAAAAATCTGCATATCATGCATAACATGAAGCTAACATCTTTTACAAAATTGTTATGCTTAATATTTTCTCTAGTTTTAATTCAGAGAACCGATTAGTTAAATGTAAGATGTTAAAGCCTCTCTATTCACTGAATGAATTTATATAGGTCTAAAAGAGAAGGAAAAGCCCCTACCCCTGGGCTGTTGGGCATGTTATGTGAGAGAGGGAGAATATTTTTATTAATGGATTTGTTCTGTTTTGTTGATTTTGAGCAGTCAGAATTTGGATGTCGCCTGTGAGCTGAAGCATTTTTTCTAATAGGCCACTTTAGAAATGGACAGATCGTCCAGACAGAAAACTGAAGGAACAGCAAAGTTAAATTGCACCCAAGATCAGTTAGATACGACAGGCAGTTACAGAACATGCCATCCAGCAGCTGCGGAACACACGTTTTCAGAACAGCACCTGAAGCATTTTCTAGGATGCATCATAGGGCAGATCTCAAAACTAGTCAGAATCATGTTCCATGTATTTTCTGATCACAATGCAATAAAACTAGAAATTACAAGAAAAACTTTCAAAAATACAAAATATGTGAAAACAACTTGCTTTTGGGCAGCCAATGGGGAAGAAATTAAGTTAGAAATTTAAAAACTTGTTGAAGTGAATGAAAATGGAAAAAGCATGCCAAAACTAATGGGATGCAGCAAAATCTGTACTGAGAGGGAGGTTCCTTGCAATCAACACTTGCATCAAAAAAATCAGGAACATTTCAGGTAACTCATTACGTCTCAAGGAAGTAGGAAACAACAAATCAAGCCCCAAATTAGTGAAGAAACTTTTAAAAACCTCAGCAGAAATGAATAGAGACTGGAAACAGTACAGTGCTCAATGAAACAGCTGATTTTTTGGAAAGAAATAATACTGACAAACATTTAGCTAGACTAAGAAAAAAGTAAAATGAAAATTGGAAGTCAGAATTGGAAAGGGAGACACTACAACTGACACCACAGAAATGCAAAGGGTTGTTAGGGATTATGAGTAGTATGGTGACAAATATAACCTAGGAGAAACGGACAAATTTCTGGATCTATCTACCTTATAAAGATTAAATCATTAAGAAATGTAGTACTGGGGCCAGTGCTGTGGTGCAGCGGGTTAAAGACCTTGCCTGAAGCGCTGGCGTCCCATATGGGTGCTAGTTCTAGTCCCGGCTGCTCCTCTTCCAATCCAGCTCTCTGCCATGGCCTGGGATAGCAGTAAAAGATGGCCTAAGTCTTTGGGCCCCTGCACTCCTGTGGGAAACCCAGAAGAAGTTCCTGGCTCCTGGCTTCTGATCAGCACTGCTCCGGCCGTTGAGGCCATCTGGGGAGTGAACCAGCGGATGGAAGACCTCTCTCTCTCTCTCTACCTCTCTCTGTAACTCTTTCAAATAAAAAAAAATCTTTTAAAAAATAAATATAGTAAGTAAACAGTCTAATCATGAATAGTGAGATTGAATCAATAATAAAAATGTTCCATCAAAGAAAAACCCCAGACCGGATAATTACAGCTGAATTCAACCACATATTTAAAGGAGAGTTAAAACCAGTTCTTTCAAATCATAGAAAAAGGGAATTCTTGTAAATTCATTTCATGAGACTAACATTACATTGATAACAAAGCTAAACAAGTAAGTAACAATGAAAGTTACAGGCCAATGTCCTTGACTAACATGGATGCAAAGTCCTCAACAAAATACTAGCAAAGTCAATCCAGTAGCACATTAAAAATTATTCACCATGATCAACTGGATTACATTTCAGGGATGGAAACATAGTTGAACACACACAGATCAATAAATGTGATTTGCCACATCAACAGAATGAAACAAAAATCGTGAAAATATCAAATGCAGAAAAGCCATTTAATAAAATCCAACATTACTTCATGGTTTAAAAAAAAGTGAAATAATTGGGTATGGAGGAAATGTGCCTCAACATAACAAAGTTCCTATATAACAAAGCAACAGGTAATATCAGAATGGAGGATAGCTGAAGGGTTTTCTCTAAAACCAGGAACCAGGATGCCCACTTTCACCACTCTTACTTGATATAGTGCTGGACATGCTAGCCAGAACAAGAAGCAGGAAAAGAAGGGGCACTAATATTGGAAAAAGGAAGTCAATTGTTACTGCAGATAATAGGGTCTTATATACAGAGAAAACCTCAAATACTCCCAAAAAACTATAAGAATTAATAAATTCAGCAAAGTTGTAAGATACAAAGTCTACTAACAAGAACCAGCATCCTTGTATACCAGAACAGATTAATTCTTTTTATTTTTTTATTTTTGATAGGCAGAGTGGACAGAGAGAGAGAGACAGAGAGAAAGGTCTTCCTTTGCCGTTGGTTCACCCTCCAATGGCCACCGCGGCTGACGCGCTGCAGCCAGCACATCGCGCTGATCCAAAGCCAGGAGCCAGGTACTTATCCTGGTCTCCCATGGGGTGCAGGGCCCAAGCACTTGGGCCATCCTCCACTGCACTCCTGGGCTATAGCAGAGAGCTGGCCTGGAAGAGGGGCAACTGGGACAGAATCCGGCGCCCTGACCGGCACTAGAACCCGGTGTGCCGGCACCGCAAGGTGGAGGATTAGCCTAGTGAGCCGCGGTGCCGGCCAGATTAACTCTTTAAAAAATTAAACCAATCTCATTTCCAGTATCAA